GCAGCCCAAGCGGACTCTCTGAAAGTCTGTACAGGAAATCACAGAAACACTCACATCCTGTCCAATATGATGCTGATTTATTATCATCAGACTCATACATCAGTTCCTTCACAGTCTCTAGTTGTTTAAATTATGACAGAGAAGTCTATTAAAATGCTTTACAGGTCATCTGTAATTAATGTTCATGGTTCAGCCTCCATTTTACATGAATTCTGATGTAAATCAGCATCATGTCGATTTGCTGCTGCAGAGCAGATCTGTCCCCTCAGCTACACAGGCTAAATAAATTGTTTGACTATTAGGTTAATGTTCTCAGAGACCACAAGTCTTTATGTTGCTAAATACATAATAATTTAATCTGTGACTATTAAACATCTTTTTTTGGTGTATGTCCTAAGACCTTGAGCTCCGTTGAGCTAAACCAGTCCAGTGTTTAATAGTCCAGGTCAGTTAGACCATGATCGCCATTTGGTGGCCAGTGTTTGGGGCAGCTGGTTATTATTATGTGTTCGACAGTTTGTAGTGGATCCCCACATTCGCAGTGGGCTCTGTCCATGAGACTCCATTTTGCATTGCTGCCCGGAAGCGTCCTCCCCCCTCTGCCTCAGACGGTTGAGGGTTGTCCATTGCTTTCAGGGCAGGTGCTGGCTGGGAACATCTGTGGGGTCTTCAATCTAGTGATGGAGCCTGGTCCCTCCATCTTGCCTTGACACACGCAGTCTTGGAGGTATCAGATGGTGCTGTAAGGAGCAGTTCTTGGGCGTGTGTGTGAGGGGTGCCTGTACTTGAGACCAAGCATGTGGTGTCTCCATAGCGATCATGTGGAGGAGGTGGGTTTCACTCGTCTGTGCCTTTCCTAATAAATATCACCATCAGTCACACAACATGTCTTCTGTTAACAGAATAAACCTTCAGAGAAAATAAAATCTAAATCTCTGAAATTCAACAAAAATGAAAAGTTTATCTAAAATATCATCTTGTTGAGTCAACGTCTAAACCAGTCAGCTGATAGATCAGGTGAGAGCCAGGTGTTTCCCATCATGCTCAGTGTCTTGCTGTCAGTGGAGAGCAACTGGAGTGCCTCACTCTTACAAGATTATCATCGTCCATTTTTGTGTGACGTTAGAGCAAGTCAGGATGATGTCGCACACAAATGTTATCAGCATGCATTGTGCCGTGATTGCTGGTGAATGACACTCTGCAGGCCTGGCTCATCTGGAACAAGCCTTTTCAAAATATCCAGGCTTGTAGTTTGTAAAGCCTAGTTTCTCCATTTCTTAGAAAAAGGAGACCATTTCAGTGATGGCAAAACTTCTAGCCAAAACCTGTTTCTACATTGAGTCATGCAAAACAGGATAATGCATAAATATCATGTTTGAAATACAAGCCTGTGAAATATATGTAAAATATGACAGGTGCTTAATTACAATAGCACAGTGTCTCTCAAACTTTTTACAATAATGTATCTCCTTTGAAATATTTTTTCAGCCAAGTATCCCCTGACCAGAGCAAAACAGTTTTGGTAGAAACAAAATGCCTGTATAAGGGGCGCGCGGTGGCTTGGTAGGTGGAGTGGGTGTCCCATGTGCAGGGGTGGTGTTCTTGCTGCGGCGGCCTTGGGCTCAACTCCGGCCTGTGGCCCCTCGCTGCATGTTGTTCCCCCCAGGCTTGGACTGTCCTGTCTAAAAAAGCAAAAAGCCCAGAACTCCTGTATAAAGAGGAACAATACTGCGCTGCATGGTTGTTGTATGATTTACTAAATGATAATCTTGTAACTGAAAAACACTGAAACACTACATTTTTTCACTAAGTTCACAGCAACCCAGTCATCATGCTGTTACACTAACATGGCATTGTAGTTGCATTGAGCTGTCTCTTTTATAAGTTGCACTTACAATATAGTGATACGATTATTTTAGGAATTATACATGATTTACATCTTTACATTAAAGGGAAATTTCGGTTTATTTCAACCCGTCTCCTATCGTCCTAAATTTGTTTCAAGTCACTAGTGACATAGAAATAATAGTTAGCATGTTAGCCGTTAGCCTAGATACAGCCGTAGCGTCAGACCTGTTAAAACATAAGTGAATGGGCATCCTTTCAAGTGCAAAGTTAGTCCACTAAACAAGCTTTTTCTCCTCATATTGTTAGGATAAATGTCAGAGGACATATAGAAAACGACATGTAAACGTGTTGTTTACCATTTAGCTAAGGCTGCAACCGGTCCCATTCCTTGCAACAGAGGTATTCCTCTTCTGTGGGCATTGGGGTACAGCATTCACAGGTAACGTTACACCACCAATCTCCAGAGCTAAATCCTTCCAGCAGCCATTCCTCCTCTGTCGTCCTCTACCTGTTGTGCCTCTCTCTCTCTCTCTCCTCCTCCTCCGTTCTTCAATTTCACGAAGCTCTTCGTCAGTGTATTCTGGCTCGAATAAATAAGGGCGGCCATAAAACTCTGCAAAATCAAATTCCTCCTCCACAAAGTCGAAGTCTGGCAAAAAGTCAGCCATTATTCTATAAATCTTTCATAAAATAAATGAATGAACTTTTCAGGCTACTGTCCGGTTCTGCCTTGCAGCTGCTGCGGCTTGTTCTCGTGAGATTTCAGGCACGGTATGAGATCGCTGCTTGTTCTCACGATATTTCGGCTGCGCTTTGGGAAGCAGAGGTAAATGATAAACACACCGTAAGGTAAGACAACAACTCTGAAGACCACCTAAATGTGGAATGTTAGTATATAGGCTTTCCACATCGAGAGGCGATGGCCACCCTTATTTATTTAAGCCAGAATACACTGACGAAGAGCTTCGTGAAATTGAAGAATGGAGGAGGAGAGAGAGAGAGGCACAACAGGTAACGTTAGAGGACGACAGAGGAGGAATGGCTACTGGAAGGCTTTAGCTCTGGAGCTCGGTGGTGTAACGTTACCTGTGAATGCTGTGCCCCAATGCCCACAGAAGAGGAATACCTCTGTTGCAAGGAATGGGACCGGTTGCAGCCTTAGCTAAATGGTAAACAACAAACATGGCAGCACACCAGTAAGGTAAGACAACACGTTTACATGTTGTTTTCTATATGTTCTCTGACATTTATCCTAACGATATGAGGCGGTCTTTGTGGAGAAAAAGCTTGTTTAGTGGACTAACTTTGCACTGGTAAGGATGCCCGTTCAATTATGTTTTAACAGGTCTGACGCTACGGCTGTATCTAGGCTAACGGCTAACATGCTAACTATTATTTCTATGTCACTAGTGACTTGAAACAAATTTAGGACGATAGGAGACGGGTTGAAATAAACCTAAATTTCCCTTTAACATGTTTAAAAAAATGTAATGTGTCCCCTGCAGTACTCAAAACTACCACTAGGCGTATGGCTATGTTCAAGAAAAAATGCCTAATCAAGACAAAGGGTGTGTTCTGAATCACATACTTTTTCTTTTTACTTTTAGTAGGTGGTGCAGCTGTTCTTAAAAAGTACGTACTGTTGTATGCAGTATGCACACAATCAGGACATACTACTGTCTCATAACATAACACCCTGAACTCTGACCCTCTTGCTTTTATATTCGTTACCTTGGAGATAAAACAAACACCACTCCAGAGTTCTCCATAGATGGAGGTCAGCCTGAAGAGCTCTGCTGTTGTTACTTTGCAATGCGTGTAGTTTAACTTTAAAGTTGTAACTGCACAGATTGTAGATTCTAATATATTTGTGACAGTGAGATTACATCATCAGCTGTCAAGCCATTATCTGTTTGCGGCTCAGTGGGTGTGACATATCATCCACTGCACAGAGGACTGTGGGTCAGAATGGTCAGAAAAGCATGCTGGCTTGTATACTGTGAATCTGACCGGATGTAGTAGAACATCCTGGTATTTTCGGCACACTGCATTTCACCTATGTATTGGGACATACTAAATCTTTTTCTGGCATACTATATGGTAGTATGGGTATTGGAAGGCCAGAAAAAAAAATCTAGGAAGCAGGTTTTGCTATCACAGAAGTGATGATGATCAGTTTTCTAAATTGTTGATTTCTAGCCAAGATCTTGTCATGGTAAGTCGTGACTATTGCTGTAATTGGAAAAACAGTTGTTGCTGCACATAAACTGTGTTCACAAATTCTGAACACATTTCTCTGACAGCTCGTATAATGTAACTGTGCACACTGTCCATATGTCAGCATTCGACAGAAGGAGTGCCCTCTGACCTGCGCCCAGTGTGCCGGCTGGGCCAACTGTACGGTCAGTCACTGGTCCAGTTGGGTCATTGTTTGATTTAAACTACTGGGAATCACAATGTGATAAATGAATGTTAGTTTTACCCCTTCTTTTCATTTCATTTTTTTTTCCCGTCACTGTGAGGCGACAATTTGTCTCAGGCTGAAAGTGATGAATCAATCTCGTATCAGCCGTTCATCAGGTGCGATCAGTGTTTTGGCAAGACTGATGAAAAGACCTGCCAGCCCCATGAGCGCCCCGTCTGTTGTTACTGCTGGTTATATATTTAAAAAAAAAAAAAAAGAAAAAAGAAAGTAGTTGCAGGTTCACATGTGAATACAGTTTTTACAACATGGGGTAATTGTAACTGTGGAAAATTGAACACTTCAAATACATTCAAAATTGCTTGCTGGGGCATCAAATACAGGCGAGTACAGCTCTGTCCAACTACAGGAAGTCAGCTTTAATTCAAACAATACATACACACACCAACATCTTTTTACACAAATTATGATAAAGAACAAAATGACCTTCAATCAAATCCAGGCAAAATTTTAATGTCAAAAATCTCCTAAAAAGAAGCTCCAGGATGTTCTTTGAAAAGGCTCACACATTAATCTGCTAGCCAAGACTTCCCAAAAGACTCTTTCTACCATCAGATGTGCTTCTGAATGGGCAACTACTCAAGTTCTTTGCAAAAAAGCATGTATCTGATTTATTGAGCCCCCACCCCCCCCCCACCCCCACCCTCCCTTACACACTAACATGACACTATTTATGGAGACACCAAGCTCCTGTTAGTTCCTCAAAAACAAAAGCAGCAACATGGAAAGGTTTTTGTGAATGAAGTATTCATTACCGATCAATAAGCGAGGCCTCAAAAACTTTGATGAAGCCATTCATCCGCTGTCAATAACTTCTGATTTAATGATTTCGATTCTCTCTCAAGCGAGTTCGTAGTACTTCCCCGTCTTTGGATCAAAATAGCAGTTCAGGCAAGGATCATAGAGCAGATTCAAATACTCGTCCTCCTTCTCCTCTTCATTCACAGGCTCATCCCTTCCTGTAATAGTGCGAGAAGATCACTCTGCAGCACTTGATAGTAATTGTTCAAAACACACATAGATAAATTCAAATCAATTACATTTGCACGGATAAAAAATGTATAAATGTAAAATGTATATTGTATTTTCAATGTACAGTAGCGTAGCCGTGCCAGATATGAGTAAGGGCCTACTCTATCAGCTGTTACTGGAATGAAATGAGGAGCGTTCATGGTGAGGTGACCTTCAGACTCGGGTGGATTTAAAAGTTTTCTGTCGCTGCCATTTTTTTTCTCATCAATCAAGACCTAAGACACCCAGACCCTGTACCACATTATGAAGCTGTAAAGAGATTCCCTGTAATCCCCACTACTTTAAAGCACGAGAATTTAGCTGTTAAATTGACAGGCAGTTAAATGCTAAAAAGGTTATGGGATGCTCCAGGAGGAACATTTTATCTTATCAGAACTTCGGCGACGATAATGAAAACTAATTATAAGACACATTGTGTAAGAGGTTTAAAAATGATGTTGTAAACTGAAAAGGTTTCATCAATTAACCTTGTCGATGGGTCTTGAGGGTACAGACCTGTAATGAGCCTGTCTCTTTTGACCTATGGAGTTATGTGGAGGACAGAGAGCTCCACTCTCGTGGGTTTTTACCCTTAATTAGATACAGTTTCACACGCTTTCCCACCATGTTGAGTGCAGTCTTTGGGTGGAGGCTTTGACACCGGCAGATGTTTCCATTAGTTCGATGCATTTGCGCAATTAGTGTGGTTAATGTTAAGGTATTGTGTTGTTTGCTGTCTGTCTGACTTTAGAGGACATAAAAGGGTGTCTACGGGCAAAAGACCAAAATTAATATTACTGTACCTGCGATTATATCTTCCAAATTGTTCCATGTGTTGCCTGACCTTCTCCGCTGGCTGGGAGGCATAATGGGAGGGCTGAGCACGTCCATCCACTCCCTGGGGAAAAGACCATAAAAGCACACAGTCATGACAACACATGCCATTAGACACACCTTCCTATACCGTGCACATCAAATTGCCTCCATATGACATTTTAACAATGAAGTCCCATCATCGTGTGCTCTCAGAAGCCAGTCTAAGCCTCTGTTGTCCTTGAGCCACTTCTCCTGCACACTTAGCCTCGCCGCTTTACAGTTTTACCTGAAGGATCATTTATTAGATTCTGACTCAAGCTGTGATTTCCAAGTGTCCACATTCTGGCCCAGAGTAGGGGTCTTAACCTTGCCCGTGTCTGCGAGAGCAGGACTTCCTTTCTCTCTAAATGAGTTTATCTTCCCCCGTCTGAGAGCGACAGAGGCTACAACCATACATCAATCATTTTCCAGTAAAGTGCAACACTGCTCTTTTAGCACAGAGCAACAGATTAGAGGAAGAGAAATGCCACAGGATGAAATATCACTTGGAAGCGCTGCAAGATTCATTTGTTAAACAGAATTCATAATAATTTTAGGCTATACATCAGCTGCACAATTATCCATTTACATCTTTTGCCTCTGGACATAACATCTCATAAGTGCAAATCATGGCATATTTAATGAGATACTATCATCTTATTCTGTACAACATTCAGCTGACAGCAGGCAATTCAAACGTTCATTACCAACGATTGATAATGTTAGTCTCTCTGAAAACAGAGTACGTTCACGAATGGCGTTATAGTATGTTCACTACGGTAAAATCATGACATGTTAATACTTTCAGAAGGCTACATTCAAAACATTTATAATGCTAGTCCCTAAAAGGGACAGTTTATCATGTTGGTCGTTGGAGATATCGGCGATAGAGATGTCTACTTGTACATGCTTGTGACAACGTGAGATGTAAACATTAATAGCTAGGTGAGCTAGCAGTAGATGCACGTGTCCATCTGTGAGGTGGCAGGTGTAGTTCGGTAGAAAGAAAATAGTTCCTACATGAAACTACTCACAACAAGGTCTGTGGATTATCTTGTGTAACTGAGTCATGATTTCTGGACAGATACATTGCTGTTGAGTTTTTCAAATGTATTTTTTTGGCGCTTTGAGCACCACAAGCTGAGTGCCTTTTGGTTCCATTATACTGGAGGGAAGTAAGACATCTCATCGACTGAGCAGACAAAAAAAACCCAGTTGCACACCTCTGAAAACCAGTCAAACTGCAGTTACAGTTTACATCCATTTCTGTCCAGACTCATATGTAGCCATGACAATAGTGTTTCAAGTATGAATGATGCTGCAGAGAAGCCTCGATTTTTTAAAACGTTGATGCTTTACAATCATCCTACCCCTCGGCAGCACAGAAGATCAGTACAATCAGCACAGTTTCAAGGTGGACACCCAAGATTACTGTCACCAATCCAGTATCTGACCAAATGTCTCCCCTTCTGTTCCTTAGATATGACGCTGAATAGCAGCCAGAAAGTGTTTCATGCAGAACATTATCATTTGACCTTTTGGATATAAAATGTCATCACTGTATCCTATTAGATATTTGTGTAAAACTTTGTCATAACTAGTGTATAAATTCTTGATTTATAACCTAAAAAAACTGAGGTCATACTGACCTTTGACCACAAAAATCTAATCAGTTCATCCTTGAGTCCAACTAAATGTTTGTGCCGAATTTGAAGAAATTTCCTCAAGGCGTTCTTGTGTTCACAAGAATAAGATGGATGCAAGGTCACAGTAACCTTGTACTTTAACCACCAAAATCTAATCATGTCATTGCCAAATTTGAAGAAATTCCCTTTAGATATCAGCGTCACAAGAACTAGATGGACGGATCGTTGTACCTCACTGCTATCGCCAGCGCTGAGGCATAAAAAAATAATAATGCTGTGAGTCAAATTTATCTTCAACTTTTTTGTGCGTTTTGTCTCCTTTATGGCAAATTAATTACTCTTAAAATACAAGTGTAAGGAGGTGGAGATAGAGTCTGTAACCATAACTGTGCAAAATCATACAAAAAGAGCACTTACGCCTAATGGAGAGTAAAAAGGCCAGATGGTGTTGGGGTGAGGGGAGACATAACGGCAGAAACGCAAATGATTTAATAGGCGCTGAATTATTTATATGATATTATCATTTATGTAGTATTACCATGATATAAATATTTCATTTTTAAATATGACAGTTATCATCAATACCAGTACACTGTGACACCTCTGATTAATAGCACTACAGGTAAGAGGAAAAATATGTATTGATTTTGTGGTGAACTATCCCTTTAACAAGATGTTGGTTTTAATGGGTGCATAACGTGCTTTTAGTAATATGGTGTCTGGAACTAAATGCACCAGTGAAGTAAAAATACCAAAAATGACAACTCTCCCTTAAAGAAATGTTCAATAACATGTCAAATAAGCGATGTGGTAACAACTGTATGAAATAGTAAGAAGTAGAATTCACAGCTTTCAATTAAATACCATCTGAAGTAGGGCGACACGTGCATGTTTAAGCAAAAAGCATTATATCTCATCTTTCTGTGCATTAAAGCCTGAATTAGAAATTTCTTCATTTTAACCTCCTGCCTTTAAAGTGATCAAGTACATTATCTCTACTGAGGCTCTGACTTTTCTTTCTAACAAAGGCATTTACCCCACTCTAACACCCCTTTGACTGTGTGATAGGCAGTAACATAGTACAAAAGTTAATGGAAGCAATTTTCAAGGACAAAGGCCTCTGCTACAGAGCTGCAAATTGGACTTCAAATTGTTAAAAAGGAACTTGGCGAGAGTGATTAAATTCTTAGATTTTCAAGTCATTATAATCCAGATACGGAAGAACCTGTGATAAAGGGAATAAATTAGTTTGATTAAATTTGAGTGAGTACACTGTTTTTGCGCAGCAGTGAAGTATATTGAAATTAAGCTTTCCAAATATCTTCCAGTGAAACAGTGTCAAGACAACTCTGTCTGTCTGTCTGTCTGTCTGACATCCTGGCAATTGTACCGAATTTCACAATTGTCTTTATTGTAGAAACAACTGAATTGCTATTCAAGGTCTCTGTGACGGCCTGATTTGTGGTTTCACATTTGGCATGCTCGCCAAAGGCAGACACAAGTATCACACGCAAAGAGAAACATGTTAAAAAAAAATGCTAGAAAAGCCCTGGCAACATGAAGCACAGCAACAGGAGCATTTTTAGCTGTCAAGAAAACTGTAGCTCTCAACAGCGAGGAAGCCTTGCAGTGATGCCAAGATGCTCAAATAATACCATGATAGAATTCACTGTAAGGGTGCCTCAGAATGCAAGGCCTATAAGAAAAGGAGCGAAAACAACGACAAATCCTGTGCAGCTGTTCTTCGATATGTAAATCGAGGCTTGCTTCAAAGTCTAATTTCAGAAGTACAGCTGCAGATGCTGTAGTGCTAGTGTGAGTCAGGGAGTATGTTTGAGGTGTCAATAGCAATATTCAGTTCAACGGACATTCAATCAAACAGCATAACCTCACTGAATATTTAAAGAGCCCCCCGAAACTTGTCAGCACTGAAATATTAAAGTATCTAAATGCATGGGCGTCCACACATGTTCACAACAGGCTACCTCTCGCTTTTCATCAATAAATCAAAAGTGTTGGAGAGGAGGTGGTTGCATAATTTGAGTAGCGGACCTATGATGCAACGCCTTTGTCTTGTTTTGAAACACGCCGCATGGTTGTGTACACCCACAAAGAGATGGAGATGTGCAGAGACGGGGCTCAGCGGGGTGATGCGGGGTCTCCAGAACCCTCCGAGGGGAACCAAGGGTGCCATCCATACTGTTGCCATGGTGGGGTGGTGAGATGGATATACAGTGCATGTAAGCCTTAAGACACTGCCCAGAGATTGCACTATATGCTGTAATATGCTCCCGATGGTAACATGTGACAGTTTATTATTAATGACAGTATTGAAGAGTTTCTTCTGCCTCGTTCCTCTGATTCATCATATTAAACTTGCCTACAAGAGCTAGGTGACTCCAGCTTTAAATCTGAGCTATCTTCCCTCGAAGGAACATAAAAACACAGATCACACTGAAATGTCAATTAGGGTTATGCTCTTCATAATTCTATTTCATCTGGCCTTGAAAACTACAAAGCCCATTTAACTTTATGTAAAGAAAAGATTCCACTCACAGATATTCAATGCTCTGTAACAACAATCCGTAATGTTCAACACACGACGGAGCATATTTTCAGATGAGGTGTTGGAATTCACCTTTTCTGATGTTCAAACTTTTTCTCCTTTCACTTTTTCAACTTGTACATTATTTGGGGGTTTTCTAGGCTACATAATGTGTTCTCCTTAGCATCTTGTGAGCCCGAAGTTGACTCTGGATGCACCCTCCCAAATAATAGTGGTTGTAAATTATTCTGCCTCCTCCAGTAATATAAGCCCATTCATCAATGTGTTTTCTTTTTGAGGTTAGAACTTTACTCGGGTTTTGTCCTGTAGGCAGATAAAACGAGGTGGAACATGACTCGTGGCTGCTTTGCATTATGAACTACTGAAGCTTCTGCCATGCACAAGTTGGCCTTTGCTTCATCAATGATGGATTTCTCCTTGTATGACTGCTGAGAGGCAGAGCTAAATGGTGAGTCTAACCCTTGCTTTTGATCTTCAAGGACTGAACTGAACCAAAAAACTTTCCAACATTAATTATCTAGAAGATAAAAAGTGTCAAAAGAAAAAGTTGCCAGTGATGAATCTGACAAGCACAATAATAAGTGAGTAATTATCTGCACTTGTGAAAATGACAACAGCAGTTAAGGGAGAAGAAAACTACAGTACCTGGCACCCTCTCAATTTATTCAGACTCATCTGTGTGCAAGATAAGCCCCAGTTTGCATATCTATCTGACAGTTGACATTTAGCCTTAATTCTACAGTCACTGGTTACCATCTGATTATGGCTTTCAGGGTGAGTTTCATGTGCAAGCAGCCAAATATAAACACAGGCCATTTTCCGTCTGACAATACATGAAAGTGCAGCTCAGTCACCAGAAGAAAATGTTGGCTTTGTATGTTTCTGCAAACCAAGAATATGTTACATTTGTACGTTTTGTACCAATTATATCAACGTTTTTTTAAAGCGACATAGCAAATGAGCTCAGCTGACTTTATCACTGGGAGGTGGAGGGGATGGTGGATGGCATTACCCCTTGGTGAGATGTCTGCCAAGCTGCAGACCACTGTTGGAGACCAACAAACAACGAAACCAGCAACAAATCCTTGTACATACGATATCTTACGAAAATGCGCACATAATAGATTGTCTTAGCACCCCACGGATAACATTATGTAGTTAACGTAAGGTTACATAGTTAATATAAAGTTATAGAGGTTAAGTTTAGGAAAAGAAACATGATGAGGATGTACCTTCAAATGACTCAAAGTACACAGGGTTCCGAACCTGGTCTCCTGGGGAAAGTCCTGTGTTTTGTGACCCATCCACTGCCCCAACCTGCCTCCTTACAAGGACTGCCTAAGACCGCTTCCTTCACTACTACCACCAGCACATGGCTTACGTGCATTTCTTTTTGTTGGAAAATGTTTTTAGGCACCAAGAGTAGGTGTTTTGTAGCGACCTATCACTGTGTTTCAGAGGCTTTTTAGGCATGAAGTAGTTTTTCCTGTTGGCATAGTGGCATTAAAAGCAACTGTTCCTTACCAAGACATTACTCCTTTTCCAATGGGGATTGTGCCCCCCTAAACAGGTATTTTAAGCCAAATCACAATCTTTTCCTGACCATAACCAAGTTGTTTTTGTACCCAAACCTTACCACACATTAACCACAGCGTTGTCGAAATGTAATCTGTGGATTGCAGAAATGTGTAAAGCCAACATTTTTGTCTTTTGATTGGGTTGGAAATTGTACTCCCTCAACTATTAATACTTTTACTTAGTTAATAACAAGCCAGTACTTGAGGAAGTTAGTTGTCTGTAAACAGCATGTCAGTTTTGTCATGGAGAAAATGACTCTATTCCTAGCCTTACCTTAATGCACAACATACATGTAGTGTAATGCACTTAAATATGTGTGTAACCATCATGAGAGTTTTGCTTGCACTTCTAGTCTATGTTGACCTTGTCCTGTGGTGTACATTTTATTGTAAGTGTACAATTTTGGGTTAGGGTTAGGGTTAGGGTAGGTTGTGGTGTACATTTTATTGTAAGTGTACAATTCTGGAGCTCAGCAAAGTAAGTAATGTGCAGCACATGCCTGCTTACCTGGGGTTTGACTGCAGGAGGGGATTCATTTCCTTCTGATAGTGGTGACCCTGATTAGCTGGCTGGATCAGTCATAAAAGGAAAAAGTAAATGGTTGTGTTAAAAGCACATGTACTCATAACTCAAGTACTTATAAAATGTTTACAAAAATTAATATCAGTATGCACTTATCCCCATTAAATTTAAAAGACCACTGAGTGATCTATCAGGCATACAAAGAATATGGCGTACACCTACAGCACTTGAAGACTGAAAATGTTTTTTAGGTTCAGAATGACCTACTACTATTCAAGGTTTATTGCTTGACAAATGATTGTTGTCGCTCAACTGAAATTGTGTATTTTATGACAGATAAACTGTCAAAGGGAGCAATACATCTTTTGTGGACATACAATGCCTCATTGAAATCTAGAAGCTCACATCAACAGCGTTGCCCTACCGAGCACACGCTAGACAAGGACAATTTTCCCACAAACCTTAATACCACCACAAATTAAGCTTTAAGCTTCTACAGTTTATGGAAATGATTATGCAGCCTGTCAAGACAAAAAGCTCTCTTCTATGTTGTGTGCCGTTTCACTGGCATGTATGAAAGATCACTGCCTTTCTGGCAAACAGCAAGAGAAGAAACACAAAGGAAGAAATGGAGAGTGCAGCAAGACACAGAAAACATGGGTGAACAGTGAAGGGTGAAGAAACCAAGATCAAGGGATCAGTAAAATCTTATATTGTGTTCAGAAATGTAAATTTGACTCTACTCTAACAAAGGACTGGAGCTGGGTTGTATTTGTGATTGTGGTTAAAACACTGACAGCTAAGTTCTTTGTGAGCTGCGAGTTGAAGAGACTTGGAGGCAGGAGATAAGAATGGTTTCACATTATGTATATATACAGTAATATTCAGCTGTAAGAAACACAAGTGCATTACCCTCTCCATCTTGTCAAAGCTAAAGACCATATTATAGCCTCAGGAGGCTATTTAAGTCTAGTGCCTGTTTAAAAGCTATTACAATACATGATGAAGAAGCAGTCGTGCTGAGGATGTAGTCCTTGCATTCCTTAAGTAAATTTTAGCTATGTGTGCGCTCCAGTGCCTTCTTTATGTAATCCTCTTCTAAAAATAACACAGGACCTAAAATTGTCCCCGGTGGAATTCTGCAGGTAATATGTACTGATGATGATGAGTTACCTGTTGGGTGATGGAGAAAATTCTTTTGGGGAGGTACTAGGAGCTGAACCATTTCTGCACTCTGTCTGTAATATGAAAACCCAGTGCCTCGAATGGTCATTTAAACTTGCATGAACTACAGAATCAAAGGGAACGCAGAGGTCCAAAAGAATTAGAAGTACATCTGCTGCTAACAGAAGTACATTACTTATTTTGATAGCTTCTTAAATTCAACAGCAAAATGTGGTTAGTGAGTGAACACAACAGAACTGGCTGCCCGTAGCTGCAGAAGCACTACGTGCTGTACAGCCTCCCAGAAAAACACAGGATAGGTCTTGGCTAAAAGGTCACTACACACCAGTTATGGCTACACCTAGTTCCCTAACACCATCCAACCTCTATTTTGGTTCTTAAAGCTATTGTTTGACCAGTCTCCTTGACTGATGCTCAAACATTTAGTTATCCCAGTGCTCAAGCCGCACTATCCCTCCCCTCCTACATATCCACCGCTGTGCATCATCTGTTATCCTGCACGCTGGGTCAAACGATGCCACAACAATCAGAAAACCTAAAAAAGCTCTGCTTGTCTCTGATCAGCATCGCTGTTAGGCGATCTATCATCTCTGGCTCTTTGCCTGCCCTCTGTTATGGAGACATAAAACTCAGCAGAAACCTTTGGTTCAAAACATTTGTTTGTAAAACCTCACCGCACAGCATTTCTGGGCTGCACAGACCTGTCTGGCAGTGATGTTCCACCAAACAGTGCTGGTGCCAGATCATTTCTTTTTAACATCCATCTTACTGCCTTATTTATCAACAGTTTCCAGGTGATTGCTGATGGATCAGCTCCACTTTAGAGGCTGCTTTCCTGCTTTTTCCTCAGTAAATTCTAGTCCATTATCAGTGCTGGGTGGTTACTGTACAGTCACATCACATTTGTCAGTAACACAGTAATGTAACACATAACTATTTTAAATTCAGTTATCACATCACAGTTAATAGTCAAACAATTATGGTATTACTTGGGGACCTTAGTTTTATTGTGATCAAATTTTTATCTAGTTTCTTTTCAAAGTATTAATAGTAAATTATTTTCTGTTTGTTAAAACCCCAGAAAAAAAACTAAAATAAAAAATGACCGATTGTCTAACCCTTCCCCTCCTGTCCCTGATGGCCTAGGATGACCTGTGATGGTGACAAGAGAAGGAACTTAAGTTCTTCAATTATCTGCATAATGGGCAGACAGGAAAAAATCTTAAAACGTACCAACAACAGCGACACTGGCCAGTGCCCCCATGGCGAGGCTCTTCAGCCTTCACAGTCTTGTGCTGACTCCTAGGAGAAACTATTTGAGGATCTCCTCATGAGGTATAACCACTGTATTAGTGATAAACATGTTAAATAAGCTGGACTGGTCTATTATAAAGCCATGGTTTGGTGAGCGAGCTACTCAGATGAGTTTGTTTGAGTGTGTTTGGCCTATTAATTGCAGTTCATATGGTATTTAAATGTGTTTCCTTTTTAGTCCTCCATCATCCTACGGCGTTAGCAAGGCTAATCTCTTATATTATTTTATTTAGGCCTATTAATATATAATTTTGAGGCAATTATTATATGTACTATGCGGGGTTAGGAAGGCCAGCCTCTTTTATATACTGATTTAGGGCCCTATTTAGGCGTGAGGTGCATGGGCGTGTCCCAGTCAATTGCTAGTTAGACAGCGCGTTTTTAGACTGTGCGCCATGGCGGAGAGTCTAAAAGGGTTGGACTTACTCTGTGAAATAGTCATGGGTGTGTTCTGGGCTTATCATTTAATAAGCCAATCAGAGTGTCACCTCTCATTCCCTTTAAAAGAGGCGCGATTGGAGCGCATGGCGGAGAGCTAGTTAGATTGCAGACCTACCAACTGGAAAGAGTGAGCCTTTTACAGCTGAGGAGACGGATCTCCTCGTGCGGGAGGTGAGGCAGGAGGCTCGTCAGAACCAGATCTACGGGGACAGCAGACAGGCACCCAAGATCCCTGAGGTAAAGCAGGCATGGGATCACTAATACAAGAAAGATCTTACTAAATATCTGTGGAATATTATTCAAACCTGTTTTCATCATATAACAGAGCACAGCTGTCAGGACTGCTGCGGAGCTCCCCAAGGTGCTGATCCTGCAGCTAGGACCTGTTCAGCGTTTTCTCCCCCACCCACGTTTGTTAATTGTTTTCACATGTTTCCTAGAGCTGTGTTCTGCCTCTTATTTGCATGTGTGTCCTCTCTACACTCAGATAATTATTGCCTAGTAGCCTATATAATGTAGCCTAGTATAACATGTTAAAATAAATGCAATGTGTGGGCTTTGGTTTTCAATCAAAAAAATGATTGATTGGTTAGATAATTTCACAATTTAATTTGTTATTATTACAAATTATGATGATCATTATTACTGCGATTAGATCATTCTGATTAATGACTGACCATTAAGACGTGTTTCTGATAAATATCTTAATGTGCACAATAATAACCTTTCACACTGTAATCATATTTTTATTTGTTATCTTTTGCATATGTGTGGCTGCTCTGTGTGTCTCTGAGCAGAGTGCACGCGTGTTATGCACCCGCCTACAGACGCATATTACTAACTTGTTTAACAGTGAAATACTGCGCCGTTGACTTTAGACCAGGTTTTTGTTGGTCACTGGCGCATTTGCTTTTTACGTCATCTAACTAGCAATGCGCCATGACTGCACCTGACCACTCCTCATTTTTAGACCTCACTCCTCATTTTTAGACCAACACACCCAGAGAAGTGCAAGTTCATTTGCTAGTTAGACGACAAGGACGTGGGGCGTGAAAATGACAACTGCGCCTGCATCTAAATAGCAATGACACTTGCGACATGGATTATGTGCCCTCCGCCGTCCGCTTTAGACCATCTAAATAGGGCCCATAGTGTCATTTTGTAGCAGTAATAGCCTACTGCAGTGCCATCTTGATTCTCCTGAGCCTTGTTTTGTGGTGATATGTGGGCATATGTTAGGTTTAACATCATATTATTGTTAACTTGCAACTACATGACAATGCATCCCAAGCCATGTTGCAAAGTAATGCAAAAGTAATGTAACGAGTAGTGTACGGAATACATTCATACAGGTAAAATAAGAAGTAAAATAACGCATTACTCCTTTCAAAAGTAACAAGACATTAGTTTTTTTATTATTGACCCCAACACTGCCTGTTATTAATTCATACTGTATTGAGCAGAATTGCAGGCCAAGCAGAATTACATTAGTGACTGTCAGACATATGACTACTCTCCCTCCTAATATTACTTTTAAATTTCCCTTGATTTTAAGAAATATCTTGGTGTCAACCTAAACATAAGGAGCTTGCTTCCAAAATTGGATTTTGTACATGTGTTATTTAGTGAAGCTACACACCAGATGTTTTTTTATCCCCAGAGAAACCTGGCTCAGTCCCAGTGTTCAAATGAGGACACAAGTGTTACTGGATATAACTTGTTTAGATGTGATAAGCAAAGGACAGGACATGTATTGATTTATGTAAAGAGTTGTTTAACTGTACAATTACTGAACTCTTTTTTTAGAACACTGACTGTGTTGCTCTGAATGAATAAGCAAGGGGAAAGCTGAGAATTTTAAACGGCAGAACAACTGTCTCATCATCTTCAAATGAAAAGCAAATCTGATAATTATCTAGTGACACTTTTAAGGTGCAGATTCTGTCTTTTAGTTTAGTTAAAACATTGAAATTGGATTTAGTCCCTCTCTCTGCTCTCATTACTAATGAGTTGTGAAAGTGACATGGTTGAAACTTTTAATAAACCTTTTCATCCCATCACAAAATGTATTTGATGGGTCACCTTCCCGTCAGCACTAACTATTCAACATCTCCACTGGAATTCGTTGTGACTGACAAATTCACCGTGAAGGAAAAAACCTGCCACTTTTCGAGCCAAGAGGGGGCCGAGTATTCTATACAAAAAGATTTTGGTTGGAGATTTAACTTTTTTGAGTGTTTTCTTTCTTCAATCTGCCATCTGTAGCAGTAATCACACATCATGGTCCGACTCTGACATGACAGTTCTTACCTCAGCCATATGCTCACAGAGAGAATACGTATCAAAACTGGAACCACGTATTATGGTGTCTGACATCTCGATTGACACAATCATACAATCTACAAGGTGATTCTTTTGTATTCAACCTAGTAACCGTAGCACAGCATACAATCGCCTGGGGGTGAAGTTACGTCAGGGCTGGTGGAGTAGCTTCAGCAACAGAGACAGAAGCAGCCAACAGCATAGATGGCAACAGCAGGGCCACTCGAATCACAGCATCCAGGGACAAGAAACGGCTTGTCAGTTCTAGTGGAGGAGTCACAGCCCCAGACAGTGACTATTCTCTTCCTAGGTCCCCAAAGCATCTCTTGTTTTTATCTTTCTCAGACACTTTTTAGGTCCTTTAAAGTTCATATGTGACCAAAAGTACTTTATGTCTTTCTTTATGTCTCTTCCTCTGTCTTTATTGGCAAAGCATTTTCTTGATATGCTGATGGTGGTGCTGTTGCCATATGTATTTAGAATTGTAAAGCACTGCAGCTGATTCGAAAAACAACACTTCGGGGTTTGATCAAGTCAAATGTAAATATAATCCAGTCCCCATGGAAATTGTTCCTACTATATGGTCCAAAGGTACATGTTTTTATTGGTGGCCACATCATCGTGTCCTCTACAAAAAAAAACACGGGATCCCTGCGGTAATACCGCTATGCATTGTGCTCTGCTTGAATCTCAGTGTATTTATGGATACCTGCATGTACAGAAGTGGTAACAGGCCTATAACACCAGCATCTGTCATGACTGCATTCACTGGGGATCCTACAGTGGACCCAGTAGGGCCAGACAGGGCAGTGTTCTCCCTTCATAAAGTGCAATGTGCTTATGCTAATGGACCATAGATCTAAATGACCTTCAGTCACCAAGAGCAAACTATACCATCTTTGAATTCTAAAAAGATCATTTCAAATGACCTAAATAATTTTTAGTCACTGGGGGGAAGCGTGGATATTATGCCTGTGTGCTTTTAAAAGCGGTAAGAGGCCAATTAATGTGTTTCTATCTCCATAATCTTTTGTAATGCAGAAAACACGCTGAAGAAAGAGGTGCATTAGCACTTCACGGTGGCATAAGATGGGGGCTTGAAATGTAAATTAACAAGGGTGAGGATCAACTAGGGTCGGAAAAATTATTCCAGACAGGAGTTGGAGAGAGGGACAACGTGCTAATGATTGTAAATAGCAGATGAGCCGCACATGAGTGTTGCTCGTTAGCGAAGAATCAGCAATAAAAGATCAAGAGTAGCGGAGGATGATACAGTACAGACCATGGAGACGTGGGTCCAGGTAGAGGCGTCGTCGCTGCTCATGCTGATACTGACGTTACACTGGTGGATCTGAGATGCACTGAGGCCTGAGGCTCTACATTCATCTTCCTCCTGCTCCCTTTTTAGACTTGCCAGCATTCGAAGCTCGTCATCATCATCATCCCCATGCATTCGGAGACTGCTAAGCAGGTGTAAGCTGGAGTCAACAGGCTTCAGTGTGTTTTCGTCTTCTTCCTCTTCCTTTAAAATGATCAGAAATTAATTATTTGGGAGCAATCATGAAGACAGTGCCTTACGCTAAGTAAACTCTTGGTCACAGGCAACATAATAACAATACGTATGTCTTATAATGATATACAATCAAGCAATTAAAAACTCACATCAATGCCACATTCTTCAGAAATTAATTATGTTAAGCTTTCATCAATTTATTAAATTTGCTCATCTTAAACTCATCTATAAACTCCTACATAATCAGGCTCCTCAGGTGCTCAGTGACCTTGTAGTTCCACTTAGAGATTCAGGCTTGTGGAGCATCCAGCGGGAACTGTAAGGTGCCCTTAAAGTAAATCCTCAATTGGACAAACACCTTTTTCTATTCAGAGGATCAGCATGTGGAATTCCTTACGTGCAGAATTCAAACTGGGTCCTGACAGGGATCATTATAAACTCAAACTGAAATAGTTTTTGAAGAGGGATCAGCCATGTAGTCGTATAGAGCTCTGAGTTTTGTGTTCTTAATGCAAGTATTTATTGTTGAGTTTGTGTATTTTAAAAGCCAATCTAGGAAGCAGACCTCACAATAACTACTTTTGTTGGACGGTGTGTTCCAGATCCTAGAAATAAATACAATAAATGATTTAATTTTATAATTTTGAGAACATTTTGTGCAACTAATATAATGATAATTTAAAAATCTAACAATGTAAGTACACTCTTTTTAAAGAGCAATGAACATTTGACTCTTAAAAATATTCAGACATTGAAATATGAAAAAAAAAAATTTAAGATTTTTAAAAATTATTTAACACCAGTAAATTTATACAAGAAAGTATATATAAAATGATAGCACCTTTACAGGTGTAGCCCAAAATTAGCTATAATTCACCTGGTGTGCAGTCGGCTGCTGGAGATGAACGGCCTGGGAGCTGGGCAGTTTGCTAGTTGATTTTTGAAGTGGAGGATGAAGTTGCTGGAGGGTAAAACCACAAACAACAGACTTTTTGGCTTGTTGCCAGGGGTTGGAAAGCTAATGATTATCAGAACTTTGTGTGTTCAGCTCCAAAATTGCAGCTGCAGGCTACACTGTGTTGTCTTTGAAGTGTAATTTTTCTTTGGACTGGTGCAAGTAGGCAGGGATGGAGAGGAAACCAATGGAAAAACGCTGCGCCCAAGTCTCAAAATGGTCAGGAAAACCCTGCTGTTTATTCTGGCATCATGCTGGCTAAAATGTTGCTGACATTCTAATGTATACGAATGGGTTAAGGTTAGTGTAGGGCTGCACAATTTATCGAAATATACGTTATTATCTTGACAGGCTTAGGGACAGCATTGCTAATACGCCTTAGCCATAAATGCCGTTATCGTTTTGTTACATTCTTGTCACTATACATATAAACATTTGATAAATAAATTGGTCACAGTCACACACACACACACACACACTCAATTCACGGAGTTGATACAATGTTTTGTGCAACCAACAAAGTAGAGTAAATCTCAAACCAGCAGACGGCAGCCCCTGACAGGACATAATTCTTTGTTTTGATCCTCTGAGGAAATGTCTTTTAACAGTGGATCTATTGATTTAAGAGAGTGCTATGCTAACTTGATTTGTGCCTGGTGTTGCCCTGGTGTTGAATCAATGGCAGTCAATAAACCAAGGCTACAGGGAGGGAAACAAACTCCTTGTCATATTTCTCTGACAACCTTTCAGTCAAAGCCTTCACTGCATGCTGCCTGCTGGAGCTGGCACAAATCAGTAGTCAAGAGCCGCACTGATGAAGGATGCTGGGACATGTCTCAGCAGTGAGTTGCGTAAATGCAGAAAGCAACAGCCAAGTGACAGATCTCCCTTCAGGCCTTGTGATCGCTCCAGTTGACTATCCTCTGATCCTGGATCTTTTCAACTGGAGCAGCGGCCAACCTCAATTTGTAACAGACTGTAGTCTGATCCTTTGCAGCACGGCATTACAAACTTTTTCACAAGTCCTCCTTAGCTGTCCAAATCAGCAGTGATCACACATTACTCTGAGCAAAGAGAGGCAGCCAGACAGAATACCACCAGAGCCTGAATTGAACTGAGCCAAACCCATCGACTGAAGACTTTAGGACGCAATGACAGTCACTGTAAACAAAGACTTTCTAGTGGAATCTAATCAAAATAATGTAAATTTAGCAAAGCCGCATTAATCAATTTTTTAGGAAGAAAAACAAAAACACCCACACTCCCTTTTTATTCTGTTGTGATCTCCTCCAGCTCCCGACAAAAATATCTGGATCTTCAGTCGAGCCTTCTAAACACTCAACTTTTTGTATCAGCCACTTGATAACATTGTCTGTCTGATGTTTGGTGCTGGGCAAATAGTGTACAGTGGATTTATCAAAGCTTTTTGTGGTGGAAACAGTTGCCTACAGGGATTCTTCAGAGCTGCTCAGACTCAGACTATCAAGTACATTTGCCAGCCATGAAACAAAACAATGTGCTTAAAGAAGCTTGAAGTGGAGACGAAATGAAAAATGCCTCTTTAACCCTTTTGGATCAAATCCCTGGGCATTTTGTGCACCTAATTAATAATAAATGCCAACAAAATGACCAAAAAAATCAGTTTCTTCATATTCTTGTATAAAGATCTAATCATGTTTTCTTCTTGTAAAACAAAATATATGTGCTTACGTAGTCTAGTACCAACCAACATCAACCCATCAATTAATCTGCAACTTTTGGTGTTTTAGCCGCACAGAGCTAAGATTACATTAGCTAGCTAGCAACAGCATGCTACTTTGGTTTGTCTTCATTTCCCCACAATACAGTGGTTATGGGCCAGGGGGCTAGAGTTTATTCACTTTAAGGAAAGTAGTGTGTGTGACAGCTTCACATTATCCGCAAGGCATTTTACAGTGGACTGTTTCAGCAAGTGATGTTACTTGGAGCATACAAAGGGTTTCGTCTCTCTCTCAGTGATCGGTACTACTATCCTGTTGGCTAACACCATCAGGGCCTCACTGTTATGACACCCACTTTTCAATGATCAAACATTTGTCTTCATTTCGTTTTCATTTCCAAAACAATGTGGCTGAGGACTAATTCATCCATCCATCCATTTTCATCTGCTTATCCAGGGCTGGGTCACAGGATCAGCAGGCCAAGCAAAGCACCCCAGACGTTCCTCTCCCCAAGGCATTCCCAGGCCAGACGAGATGTATAATCCCTCCAGCTTGTTCTGGGTCTGCCCCGGGGCCTCCTACCAGTGGGACATGCCCAAAACACCTCCAACGGGAGGCGCTCAGGAGGCATCCTGATCAGATGCCCAGATCAGGGGCATAATTCATGCATTCCTTAGTCTAATTCATGCATTTATTTATCTCTCCCTTGTCCTCCTCCTGATGTAACGCTGAGGAAGATGCGGGTGGAGCCAGTAGTCTGTTGTAGCTCCACATCGCACTTGACTCTAAGCACGCCTACCTTTAGCAGCCCAATCAAATGCACAGAATTTGATTTAAATTTGCTGTTACTGTACATCGATCAAATATTCAGTTTCATTGGGTAATACGTCACAGAATAGGGGCTAAAAACAGTTTAACTCTCCTTCTTGACTAGGAGCAAACTTTCATTTTTCACAGTAATTTGATTAAAATATCAACATCTTCTAATTTCTTTTTTTTAGTTTGAAGATTGCACCTTTTCACCAGGTCATCAAACTTACAGACGACAGTAATTAGAAGTTTATTTGACATCCTCATCTGAAGCATATATAATTCTAAGAAGTAGGGTGGTTTGTATATTCAATTAAATTTAAATGTGTTAAATAAAGTTGTTTGTTTTGTTTTTTAATTGCATTGCTTACTAAATTTCTGACATCCTGACATGCCTACTTAGAAGTGTGCTTTCTGTAATGATAAAAATCTTAAAATCAAAAGTATCCATGATAAAAAAATGACAAACTCCACTTGCTGTTTGTTGTTGTTGTTTCTGCGGAAAAGTGTCACATCTATGTGGCAAACACCGAGTATGTTTACTTTGTGAGTGTTGACACAGTGAGGGGTAATCCAATATTGTGGCAATATTATGTAGCATCAAACAAACACATCTCACAGTGGAGGTAATTAAGGGTGATGGCCAATCGACAGCTATTCAGGTAATTATGAGGTGGAACTTCAAAGTCATTTATATACCTGTCTCTGTCACACTAAAAATACACAGCACCACAGCATTCAGAATGAGGCCAGTTGTTTGTTAAAATTGTAGACAGACGCATTACCTTGTGCCGTGTGGAGTCATCTATTTTGACTTCTTGCAGGAGTCTCCTTGAAAGCGATACACTGCTGTTCTGATTCACAGCCTGGTTCGCTACCTCTGATCCACGCGGGCCATACTTGTGCTCCTGCCTGCTGGGTGTCGCGCTGGGTGAGAGGCAGCGTGTGGGGGCGATCCCAGCTGGTTCAGCTCTCCCACTGAGAGACTGCATGCCTGCGGTGGATGGACTGAGCTCTTTTGGTGCTGTATGTTCCATGTTATGAGATTCAGGATGGACTTCAAATTGCACATCCAGAGCTGGACAGGGAGATCTGGGAGTAGCAGGGTTGGACTCAGCACTAGGGATTTGATGCTGGAATGTGGTGTAGCTCTTATCCTGAAAGAAAATACAGGCAATAAGTGAAAAATGCTGATTTAAAATGATTGTAAGGCTGCATTCGCACCAAATCAGGCATTGCAGCGATTAGCCGCAGGGTTGTGCTGCGGTGTGGGCATGTCACTTAAATGGCCTATTTGTGGGGGAGTGGAGGGTAGAGACTAACAACAGAAAGTCAGTCTCCACATCTCAGTATTTGTCTTCTGTAAGTTTGTTTATGTTAGTATGTGGTATCTTTGTTGCCACAAAAGACACACATGAACGCACACAAGCAAAGCGAGTGTACTTCTTAGAAGGATAGTACACACAAGCTGCTATGTACATAATTTGTTTCTTTGATCTTTGTTTCTGATCCTGTTCCAACTTTTCACCACAGGCCACTGCATTTTTTTCAGCATCCCTCTGACCCCACCACCACAGCCTAGTCACTACCCACAATGCCATACAAGAACAGTGTGTAACATTTAGGGGGATTTAGCGGCATCCAGCAGTGAGGACTGCAGATTGCTGTTGAAACTGCTCCTGGTTAGAATTCCATCATTGTTCAGGAGGTTTTTACCGGGAGCCGAATTATCCGTAGAGGTCACTTCCTTTACAAAACAAACAGACCAGGTAATTAAAACTGAATAAAGCATTTTCATGTTTCAAATCAATGTTTTTTCAGCTCACTGCAGACAGCTGGCTAGTCCAGGTCCTGCTAAAGCGTGCTTACTTTTTCTCTGATAACTCAAGATCCAGACATTAAGGAGATTTTTCACAGTGGTCTCTTTCTCTCCAAAACAATAACACAACATGGTTATAACACTGAATAAAGCAGTTTAACAAAAAAAAAAAAAAAAAAAATCAGTGTTTTTCTGACGCTGCTCCTTGTGAAGGGGCCAACACTAAAACATGAATGATTCTGGGCCACTGTAGAAACACTGCAGTGCAACATGGCGATCTCTGCAGACGATGACCTGCTCTCTATGATGATAAAAATGGTTCATTCGCAGGTAACAAAAAAAACACAGATTTTTATTTTCACGTAAAAATACACAAAGAAGACATACTTATTAATTCATATTTTATTTCTGCCGATACATCCTCCCAAACCCTACACACTGGACCTTTAAGCACACTGTAAAAAGGATGATGGCCTAAGCTAATATGGTAGACTGTTTCTAATGTTTTCAATGTTACCTGAGCAACTTTAATGTTGTGTTCTGCCATTCAGATTGACATGCACTTAATGAAACATGATAATGAGATGGCAAACAGTCATTGGGATTGACCAGGTGTTGGTGGCTTAGCTTTAAAATTAACCTCACATTTACAAAGGGTAATAGCATTCTCTTTAAGTCTGCTAATCTTTCCCACCTCCAGATCCAAAGTTAACACTCAGTGATGTAGTTCACCAATGTGTCGCCTACCAATCAGGTTACATAACACACACTGCACATACAGACACAGTACATGTCTCTGTCCAACATTAAAGAAACACTTCGCTGAAAACTTTTGAATATCAAACACTCACCCCTGTAGGATACATGATTCTGAAAAGTTTGTAACTTGCTCATCCACTAAGGATGGCAGCTGGATTCACAACAGTAACAATAGATTCCAATGGTGACCCAGTTTCACAGCAGGGGGAAAAAAGAACGCCCATGGAAACTTTACAGAAACTCCTGCAGCAAAAACACTTCTGAACAACACAGATAAAACCAAATGACCATTCTTAGAAGCCCACAGTAATGTACGTGTACTAGATGCACATAAACAAAGAGCAGCACATTAAAGCAGGACAATTATTCACATTGAAGAAAACATGATTTTTTTTTTTTTTTTTTGGACTGAACTGAGCATACAGTGTGTGGACAGAGCACGATGATACTGAAGTTTCTGTGGACATTTTGATACACTGTTTTGCAGTGAAACTGGGTCACAGTTGGAATCCATTTTAACTATTAAATCAAAGCCGACTACAGCTGCCATTGTCCAACGAAGGAGAAAGCTACAAACTTTGCAGAGCCACCATTTAAGCCTACAGGCGTTAATGTTTTATATTCAAAACAGATTTTGCAAGGAATGTAACTTTAATATCCTGCACCAGCTCAACAGGTAAAAAATTGGCATCAACAAGACCAATAGCAGATCGCTTGATTTAAAATATCAGTTTGACAAATACATATATCAAATTTGAGTTCATTTTTTTCATTAACCCTGTTATTTAAGGAACTGAGACATTCTAATTTAAAATGCAACATGCTCTAATACTATATTTTCCCAACATTCACACCGGCTTTTGCCATTCTCTATGAAACTAGAGAATCACAATTGTGGGATACTTACAGCCAGACTGCCGGCACACCTACACTTTTTAAGTTCATAATATAGACATTGTTTCTCATGAATTAAACTGTTTGAAGCTTTTGCTCAGAGCTGCAATCGCTGTCTCTTTATTTCTTCCTTATGCTGTCTCTTTCTGAGGCGTTTTCTTTCATTTCTGAGCTTTGTTTTTGGGGTGAAAGGCTATTATAATCCCCTCGAGATTTTTATCTCACCTGCTCCATATGTTATTTGTTTTCTCTTTTCTTTCTGTGCTTTATAATTCTCATAACTGCAAGTGAATAAACAATTGCGATGCTACCGCACAGCCCATTCTTTCAATTATTATTGAATTAAAACAACTGTGTTTCCCTGAAGATATAACAAATTTTACATTGGTCTATTGTATCTCATACATTTCCAAATGGCTCATACATTGCAGGTTCATTGCTTTGTTTTGTTTTTAATATTTCTCTATGTTTAAGAACAAACGTTAGCACAAAAGAATGGCATGAAACTGATGCAACACCTTGAAAGATGATATTGCTCCAAGTTGAGAAATGAGCAACCTGCCATAAATGAATGAAAATCAAAATCGGGCCAACTGATGGCTAAACAGTCTGATTTATTACTACAGCCATGGCGGCAGAATACGGCGACTTAGTCAGCTAAAGCTTTGAGGTAGAGCTTAGGTGATTTGTCAGAAACTGTCCCACAACCTGTGTTGCGTGTCTTGCACTTTATACTGTGCATCTATTTAAGCAAAGTTGGCATCCATAGCTTTAGAAATACGTTGCATGTTTCATTTATTGCCACTGCTAATGGCAGGGTAGCGGCAGTCGGTCAGTTTTATCACTTTTGTCAGGTTGAGGGTGCCTTTGGAATCTTAGACCTCCACAGTAGTTACAATGCGATTTTTTTCCATGCACAAGTCAATTTTGTATACACAACTCTTTCTGAAGTCAACATTTAACACAGATCAATGTTTCATCATTTTGTTTTCTTTCATATATCCTCAGACAAAGACTTCCTGCTTTCTTACAGAGATGATGCTTCGCTGCTAGCTTACATTCTTTTGCTGATATTCTTGTTTTTCATTCATTTTTGAAGGACGTAGAAGGCTGCAACTATTTAGGTTTCAACACTTAAAACTTCTTCAGTGCTGCACAAGTATGGCCTACAAACACCGCAAGCCTTTTGCTGTGTTCTACACTGAACTACAGTTTTTCCAAGGTTGTTTGGCTCGCCGCAGATGGGTGCCTTGCCCAGCTCCTGCTATTGTGTGCTCACTTTTTTCTCTAATAACTCAAGATTCAGACACTCAAGAGGTTTTTACCCGGAGCCAAATTATCCACGGAGGTCTCTTCCTTTCCAAAACAATAACACAACATGGTAATAACACTGATTAAAGCAGTTTAACATTAAAAAAAATCTGTGATTTTCTGACACTGCTCATTGTGAAGGGGCTGCAAACTAGGGTGGCCAATGCGAAAACATGGCTGGCCCTATTGTCCAGACCCACTCCCTATGTAGACAGGCTTATTCTAAGGTAACAAAAACACACAGTGATTCTTATTTTCAGGTAATAATGCGCTAAAGAAAACCTACTGATTATATTATATTCCATTTCTGCTGATATAGCCTCCTAAATCCTACACACTGGACCTTTAAACACACTACAACAAGGATGATGGGTGATGGCCTTACCACCTACAGTAACAAACCTCAGATCAGCTCATGCTGGTTAGCTTTCATAAACTTTTCCAGAATACTGCAGTGCAAGAAACTAAGATCCACCAGTTAAAAGTGAATGTGGAGCTGAATGGACTGTAACTCATACTCCTTTACCATGGGCCATGGACAACATGACTAACACCTACAAGACAACTAGGAAACAGGAGGGCTGTCAGTCAGGAGAAAAACTGTTCATCTTTTTTAGCCTACTCTCTGTGTCAAGCTTCTGCTTCTTCTGCCAAGGACAAGAGACAAGTGGAATCAAAACAATGACAAGAAATAACAGAACAGACCAGAAACCTTGAAAGGGTGCCATTTTAGCCCACGCCTTTGGAGAATTTAAAAGTTTCAATCGAGTCAGTCCCTCCAAACTTTAATTCTATGAATGTTTCTTGACCTGACAGGAACTATGGTGGTGGTGGCGTGGCTTTATTTAAAGACTGATTTCAATGCAAGCAGCTATCATGTAGTGATTGTGTCTTCTCTGAAGATCTTTGCACTGTATTGAAATGTACACCAATGACCCTGCTGTTCTCAGTTGCTTGGAAATGGATGTGCTGAAAAAAGGGCAACTTGGGTCTTTTGTTTTACTATGAAATAATTACAGACCCATCTCAAATCTTCGCTTTACTTGCAAAAAAAATCTTGAGAAAGAGATTCAGCTCAACAACTTTTTTTAAATATAAAAGGCCTTTTGAACAGATTTCAGTCTGGCCCCAGACCAAATCACTACAGTGCACTGATAAAAGTGTTAAATTACATCTGTGTTCATCTGAACATCGATTCAGGTAAAACATTCATTTTGATCCAGCTTGACCTCAGTCCGTGATACTGTTGCTGATACATTGGTACAGTCCTCAGTTGGTTCAGATCATAGTTTGAGGGCAGGGGCTATGTTATTGTAATTGGGAATCATAAATCTGAGTTGATCACTGTGACGTGGAGTTCCCCGGGGTTCAATTCTGGGATCGCTTTTGTTATATTATTATTATTATGTTACTCTAGGTCAATTCATACATGGCAATAATTTGCTCATATTAGATATGCAGATGACACTCAGATTTACACTTGGGAATGGAGGGAAGTGGTTATACCCTGGTCAGTGCAGCATATTCTTACTCCCAGCTTGTCAAATGCTGATGCTTGGTCGATGGCCCTACACATCAAACAATGACACTCTAGGTACCCCTCTAGCATCACTCTTGACACTCAGGGACAATGTGTCAATTTCCACTCATTGCATGCATTGGGCTTTTTCAAAATAAACTTCTGTGTACACAGGAAATGTATAATTTCCACTCAGTAAATGCATACTGTTTGTTTCAAAATAAACTTCCAACTTAGGTTTATTACGTTTTTAGGCTTACTTCCTCAGGTTTAGGCAACAACAGTACACAGTTATGTTTAGAAAAAGATCATGGTTTTGGTTAACATAAGGAGGTCTTACTGACATAAAGTCACATGACATGCGTGACATACATCATGTGACTCACATCATGTGTACGTTGTTAAAATAACTCACTGCTGATATTTGGTTTAACACAGGAACCAAACAACAGTTTCTTGGGTGAAAGTCCAGTGAGTGTTTGACCAACCTCTAACCTACTCAAATTTTCTCACTCTTTATACTCGGCAGTTGCTCACACCGTATTACGATGATCAGGCCTGATGCGCTGCATAAGGACAACATAGGGTGCCTCGGTATGTCGGTAATGTTAAAGTGTTGTAAATCCAGCATTTTTTTCATTCACGTTTTCTGGCAAACCATCTTCCTCTTCTTCTTCCCTGCCTTTGCTAGGGTATTGCTGCATATGTTGGCTCTTATCACCACTAGTTGATCAGTGACAGGACTGTGTATTGTGTCATCCATGTGTGCACATATGCATCCTATTCTGTGAGACCTTCTCATGGAAAACCAGCTCCATAGCACCACTGGAGGTCAAATACTCTGTAAAGAATCCTTAAACAAACTTTCTCAGTTGATGTTTTTCATCTTCACCCAATGGGAAGATGTTACAATAACTTAAGTACCCCACAATATGTTTCCACCACATCTGGGGCAATATGCAATTTGCAGCTTTGTGGTCCACCACAAATAGCCTTGCTCCATCAGCCATCATAAAAATCTATTACAGAAAAACATTTCGGCATACTCTAGCCTGTTGGAGTGTGGTTTATACTTGAAAAAGTTGTGCTTATCCAATATATGATCTTTGTGGACACCTGACAGAACAGCCATTGTCTCCTTCTAGAAAAACTGTGTTTTCAAACAAGTGTGGCTCACATTTTCCCCTCTGAAGAATAGTCACTTTCAAAATGACTACCATCTCACAGAGAAGTTGTAGGTGGGAAGCCAGAAAACATAAAAATGCCCTTCTTTTTGCTGGTAGTTTCAAAATATGGTGCATTGCACTGGATCAAATTGCTTACTGTGGTTTCACAGAATGAAATTACATGCTTCTATCCTCAGCCTGTAACCATAGTTCATACCAAGTGATGGGAGCTGATTTTAATGTGTTAATTTGGAAAAAGTGCCCAGTTAAACACCCAACTCAGACACACGTTCAGTGTTATTTAATTGTGAAATGTTGTAACAATTCATTTTTGTGCATTAATGCTCAGCTGTTTAATACTGTTGCTATGACTTAATTTCTGAGAATACTGATAGACATTGCCTAGAAAGTTGCATTTGTGGTTTTCACATGCAAAGGCGGAGGGAAAAAATGACTACCTCTATAAACTATGTAGCTATAGGCATGGTAATTTCACTGGTAACAGCAAGTGCATTGTCCTTGGACAGCAGGTGCGGCAGGTCTTCTGAAAAAGAAAGGTACACAATATTCTACTAGTCAAAGCCCAGGCAATAATTTTCTATGGTGGGTGTTTGTTACTTTAGGAAGTGTTTTGATGGCTCATTATTAGGGCAGTGTTTGAAATCAGCGTTTGAACAGGCTACATGATAATTTGCCTTTGAACAAGGCAACCTGTCTCACAACCTGTGTGTGTGTGTCACATCCTCCCTACCTTGCCAAAAGCATCTTACTTTTATTGTCCTCTGTCTTTTTTTGTTTGTTTGTTTGGGGAAGTAGTACCAGGAGGTACTGCTGATGATAAGTTAATAATAAGCTATTTTGGGCTTGTTAGCGATGTAAAATGGCAGCCAATGAAAATGAATTGTTTGTGCATGTTTAACAGAGGTGAATATGGACATGAAACTATTCCCCTAACCAAAACGTGATGCAAAATATAAAGAAAAGTATCAACTCTAGAGCTTTGTAGAAGACAAAAAACTGCAATTAAATTACCAGCAATTTACAAAGGTCATAATAAAAAGAATCACCTTATTTCAAACAGAACCAGCTTTATACTGTGTTTCTTCACCCTGGTGTGAGCTCTATACATGCACATCTGCACATACACACAATTACAATGGAAAATGGTGAGTCTTAAGAAGAGCTGAGTTACTAAACTTAAAACCTGACATTTACTATCAATGTTTAAGAGAAGATTTTTCTCCTGTTGACTTGATCTGGAAATATACTGATATAGTTAGATGTAGTCTATGTTTGGTACCTTATCCACATCGTACAGGAATGCAGTGTGTGGATGTTATCAACAAGTTACAGAATACACAATCAAACATCAGATTTGAAGAATGCATGCAATAGATATTGCTAGTCTCTGTTTTTCTTTAGGTTTTTGTGTTTTAGGGTGGGATTTGTATTTAACATGGTGCATAGAATATATTACTTTGAGCCAAAGAAACTGTATTAAAATTAAACTAATCAGCTGAGGTTCTTAAGTCTGAATTATCAGACTTATTATAAAGTTTTAAATAAGTAAAAGCAATTAGCATTTCTTTGAAGATAGTAATCATTATACTCAGTTCAACAGTTTAATTTCCCTGCTCAGCATAAAGAAAACTACTATTCTTTATTATAAGTCTCAGAACCATTAATAAATTATCTGATGATAAATAACCCCTCTGACCTTCGACGTTAAAGTATTCTGAATCTGCGGTAAACTGTAACTAATCAAATTAAACTGAATCAAATTAAACTGTGGACATAATGTCAGAGGAATATATCTTGTGTCAAAACAACATACAAGATGCACGATGCATATCAAATGCGTGTGCATTTAAATTACAGTGTGCATGTGTCTCTCCCCAAGAGCAGACGTACCTCATCACTTTCACTGCCGATAAAGTCATCCTCAGGCTGGGCCTCGTATCGCCCCCCACTTTTGCTCTGAACCTGATCATCTCCCATCTCCATCTTCTCCTGGTCGCCCTGGCCTTGCCCTCGTTTGGGTGAGTGTGGCTGGGATGAGAAAGTGAACACCTCCTCTTGCAGAGTGAGCTGGGGCTCGGACCCCTCATTACTCTCCCAGCTGCTCCAGACCTCCAGGTCACATGACAAACCTGGACAGATCGAGCAGGCAGGAGACTCGGCTGGTATGGGGGCAGCTCCTGAACTTTCCTTGATGGGAGTGCAGCTACGCTCATCTAAAATAAAAGAGCATAGAACAAAAACAAGACGGTTTTAACCCAAGGTGCAGGAAATTCCTATTGAAACATACATAGTTGCATATGAATGTATTTTTAAAGAGGCTTTGATTATACAAACTGTATAATACATGAATAAGTCTTTCAGAATACACATAAAGGTCTGAGAAGAAGACCAAGAAGAGAATAATGATAGGCATCTCATCATGGTGAGCAATAAATCCTTTTCTAATTTTTCATCATGTGACTAATGTCATTCTAATTTCATCTGATCATATGCACATAAAAATTCGCAATAACAAGATGCAATATTGTAATGAATTCCACTGCTTGCCAAAAGAGAACATTAATTTCTCCAGCACTGACATTTTTGTAGGTTTTGTTAATAGCCCTGCAATGCTAATGCCTTAATGACAATATAACAATATAAACAACATAATCAGGAGTGAGAACAGCAGTTTACTGCAAAGTTGTCACTCATGAAATGACAGCTCTGTCCAAACATCTTTAGAAATCTCACTGGCATATTTTCTAAGCAAATATTGTTTCCATGCGACTTTAATCATTCGGTTTCCCACTTTTGTTAAAGCAGAAATAGAAAATCTTAGAGCAGTGTTACAATTTCTGACACTGTGTACCCGAATATACGGGTACAGACCCTTTAAACATTAAATGAAAGTTGCATCCGTTCATGTGTGCGTGCAAGAAGGCGCACTGAATCCTTAAACTCTACGATAGGCATGAGATCAAAAGAGGCACCTCTGTCTGAATGAGTGAGCACATTTGAACCTCTCGACAGTATAATCACTTTCTCTAATTGCCCACTGCGTGGCAAACCCTGGGCTCAGGAGATGTCCCTCTGACTTTTATTTAATGTGCCACATTACCATTAATGAACTAACTACTTTCCGTCTGTGGGCAGGGCTGCAGCAAAGGAGCTTATTGCTGTGGTGAAACATCCATAAATGAGCTTTCAGAGCACGTGCGCTCATTTTGTGAGGACAATGCCGGTGTAGGTGGGTGTGTGTGTGTGTGTGTGGCGGTGGTGGGGATGGGGGGAGTAGGTACTCCTACAAAAAAATCCTGCAAATGGCCTTGACGTGGGTTATGCAAAATTAAAAAAAGGGAACAAAAGTGATGGTGTATGCAGCATAGAATGAGGCTCATTAAAATTCATGCAATATTTTGAAGTGATTTAATTTATAAACTAAGAGTAGGAATAGGTATTTTTCTCAAGTATAAAGGAGCTACTTGGTAAAATCAGAACATGCAAAGAAGACACAAATATCACTCAATATGCATATTATTCTCTTTTGTCCCATCCCTTGCTGTCTTTTTAGACCTTTCTAACCATCAGTCAGTCTGAAACTGCACACGTCTTCCTGCTGCTGCTGCTGCTTCCTGCTGTCATGCTCCCTGTCTGTTCGCAGCAGATTTGAACCTCACCTGCTGTTAGGTGCTCTGTTTTTTCTTTTAGGGTCAGAGGTTGTTGCTTGCTCTCTTGCCTACTGGCTGGAGGAGTGCTCTTCTCCCTGGTTTTACTCATCTTTCTGCTGCCACCAGGTGCAGCATCTGGAGAGGCTGTTAACCAGAAGAACACCTAAATCATGGTGCAATCACCAAATCATACTGTGTATTCCAACAAAGTGGCTTACTCCAGGGCTGAAAAATAAAGCCAAGGCCTAAGTGCCAAAAAATGCAGTTCCTTGAATGGCCACTTGAGGCTGGCTACAGAAGTGCGTCAATCCACATAGACCCCCCATGTTAAATTGCCTAACTTTACAGTGTAAATAAACATTTTGAGAGCCTGATTTAAAAAACAAAAACAATATAACTAAACAATATAACTATATATTTATATAACTCACTCAGTTAAACATTATTAAGGCTTAAAGTTCTGCATAATTAAGTCAAGTAAGTGACAGGCTGTCTGCGAGGCTACAGTTTATGAGGCAGATCCATCCCTGCCCCACCACAGCTCCACACTTTCCTCTCAATATGGTCACTTCTGGCTCCAAAGAACCAAGATGCTGATGGGTAAAGGCCGACCTCAAGGCTTCAAAACAGAAGTCCACCATAGACTGCAAAAATAATGGACATAGCTACTGTAATGTCACCCATTGGTTTGTGGACCTCCACTTTGAAGCCTTGAGCTTGGCATTATATCCGTCACCATCTTGGTTTTTTGGAGCCAGAAGTGACCATAGGTGAGAGGCTGGTACTGTGGGTGAGCGAGGGGTGGATCTGACTGAGAGGCCGAGGACACTATTAGCAGGCAGCCTGTTACACAAAGCAGCTCACGCTTAATTATGCATCATTTTAAGCCTTAATTAAATGTAAACCGGTAAGTTATATATAAAATGCACCCCCATACAGCTGCCATGGATGGGAAAATAAGCTATAGAGACCAAAACTGTTTTTTTGTACCAGGCTGTAAACATGTTTATTTCTGCTGTAAAGTTGGGGATTTTAACATGGGGGTCTTTGGGGACTGACTGGTTTCTGGAGCCAGCCTCAAGTGGCCAATCTAAGAACTGCAGTTTTTGGCACTTTCATATTGGCTTCCTATTTCAGCCCCTGAGGTTGCCGCTCAGTGTCCACAAACCAAAGGGTGATATCACGATAGTTATGCTATTATTTTACATAGTCTATGATTCCAACTTAAACAGGGCACCTACACGTATGAGCAATGTATACTGAAGATTTGTGAGGATCTTTTTATTACCACTTTAAATTTGAGACCAAAGTCACAGTGAAAATACATTCTTTTCAAATAAACACTGATGTCAGTTCAAAATGAACGGTAAGGCAAAATGACCCTGATGATACTCTCTGTGCTTACATCTCAGAAAAAAAAAACTAATGAGAAAGCTGGCCAGCAAGGTCGTAGTTTAACGAAGCAGACTCATTGCGTGAGCTAAAAACATAGAGGAGGTGAAAATAAGGGCATTGTGTGCACGCAGGTGTTGAAGTCATTTTCTCCGTCAAAAAGATTTTTTCCCATGGTGCCAACAGCGGAAATTCTCACAGTGATGTGACTTAAAAACATTTAACACCCACTGAATCTGAATTTAAGACAATTTTATACTAGTCTGTATTCAAATTTTTAGACTTTTAAGAACAGAAGCCCATTTTAAACTGCCTGTTCAAGGCTGGAATGTCATCATTATTCCACCTTACCATTTTCTATAAAAGGTACAATTGCAGAATGGGGGAATAAAGATGCCTTGTCGGTAAGCCAGCAGCAGAGATAATAACAGCACTGAATCAACATTTGTGTAAAAGAGACAGCCGGCAGGACAGGACAATGGATGGGATGAGTGTGATGTTTTGACGATGTGTTGTGTGTAGCAGCAGTTAGCAGCTAACTCAAAGAAGATTAACAGCTGCTAAAAATGTCAGTGAATTGGGAAAACAATAAGGTCGGGGAGCTCCTTACCCTCTGAGCAGAGAGCAACACCAGCCGCCATACAACAGGGATGATAAATGATTGTTATTTGCATGTTATACCTTTGCCATTGTTTAGAAAGTGCTGCTGATGCTTATGTTATATGTCACACTAGGGGCCTGCATTGTTGTGTTAAACATCACACCTGTCATGCCTCTCTTGCTTCCAGGACACTGGCACGCTATCTAATACCACAAACAGTGGCCGCATGATGCCTACATTGATTGGTCCTGTATAAAAAAAGCATGGGCGGCTAAATGAAGGGACTTCATAGCAGCCCTGTCACACACTTGCTGTGTAAAAAGGGCTGGAGAATGTAAGATGCAGTGCACAAAGCTTACCTGATGATGCTAGTCTCTCTCTTCCAGCACCGCAGACTCGCAGCTTCTTAGATCCCAGTTTGTCCAACACTCTGTCTTTTGGGGGATGGGGCTGTAAACTGCCAGGTGTTCCTACATAGAGTACTTTCACCATTAGAAAAGCTTTATAACACAAAACAGTCGAACAACAATGTTATTATAGCCTGCCAGAAGCATATCTGTGAACTGATTATGCACTGTGAAAATCCCTATTAATGAAGGCATTTCACTAACTGAGCTTCTTACATTCATTCAGTGCAGAGAGAATACATCCAGCTACATTATGTTCAGCTGAATTAAGGAATTTTAATCATCATTCAGTCATGCTCAAAGGGTGTTGTATTACCAACTGTAAAAGCTGTTATTAGGTGCTTGGGAGAACATACTCTGTCAGAGCCGGGCTCTTGTTCTGTTGGTTCACATGTAATGCTTTTACCGCTGCGCAAGAATAATCGAGTGCATTCTTAAGGTCAAGAAGAGCAGTAATGAGAGGAAGACAGTGTGCACTTTTACAGAAGGCAGTTCACTTTAAGTCACGCAGCTATGAAAGCCTGATCTGCATTAATGCAAATTATGCTCACATGCAAGAAAATAAAAAGAAGCTGAGTGATTTTTATCTATTACGATTCTCAGTCACCCAGGTCATAAGATATTTAGAGGTACTAGACTCACTTACAAGTCCTCTAACTCCTTGTTCTCTGTGAATTGGAAAAGTTGGTATCGCTATACATTTATCATTTACATATCATTTAGGTTTAGAAAAATACTCTTTCATGTCACAAGATCAGTTAATAAAACTTTCCCTGCACACCAAAAAGAGCAATGCGAAACAACTCCACAAACCCAACACTTCATACTCATACATGTTTTTGCTTTGTTGACATCTTGTTGTATTCCAGCTCTGAACTCAGAACAATCATAGGGCAAGTTGAAACCGCCTATAGTCATTATGACTTTCCAGGTCAAATTTATAAATCACACCGGCCAGTAACTACTTTGGGTGGCTGTCCGATAATACCCGCTCACGGCATAAGACTCTGGATCTAGAGTCCACTTGGAGGGTCGGGCGTTCTGCCTGATCTTCAGACCCAACATTTAGAGGATATACAATAGACCAGACGTCTTAGTTAGTCAGCTCATGAGTGCAGGCATGCATGTGGGTGTGCCAAGCATGTGGTAATGGTCCTGGATGTTCTTGGGTCTGGAAGAGAGACAAGCTGAGTAGAGGTACTTGTTCCCAATACTTCATTTATCCCGATGAAGTTGAACTTCAGCAAGGCCAGCTTCATGTAACAGGGTAGTTTCCTCATGGTGCCTAGGGTGGGCCGCATATGAGAATGCTCTATTGGTGAGAGTGAAGTTTTTCATTGAGAGAAAATGACTTTCTTTTTCACATAATGATTTTAATGTGCACACAGGACCTGCCTCAAATAGCCAGCTGAAAGCAAACAGGTTACCAAGAGGCAGTGTATCATGGGGGTAGAAGAAAAGAAACAGAAGTGAACACTGTAGGCGGACTACTTGATTTCCATAAGCTATATTCCATATTCCGAAATATTTAAACAGCATTTGTGTCGGAATGATTATGTCCAAAACTTTCTGATCCATTAAAGCAGTTAATCACTGTAACTGTGATCACCATAAGCTGTTCCCACTGCATCTCCTTAATAAACAATCATGATTCCACTTGTGCAAAAATGTGAGAATAGAAAGAAGGTATTGCTCTTTCCAGATAATATTTTCTAGCCACAGGGCTGATTCTCTGGAAGTTTTCCAAAATATTGTCAGCTATATTTCTGTCCTGATTTCAGCTTCTCTTTAGTTCATTTTCACATTTTCTGCTCCTTATTCCCACCTATCAGTCATTTGGTATATATACTGGTCCACCAACTCACTGTCTTTGCCAAATTTTCTTATGTGCATAATGCCTCCCTGCCAACTCCCTTTCTGGCTCTGTTTGCCTTCACTGACTGCTTACCTATTATTGACCGTGCTTTTGAACAAAGACCAAGTAATCTGCTTTTTACGATATCTGCTCTACCTCTGCATCCTGCGACATGGTCCACATTACAGCTTAGACTAAAAATATAACAATGTCTTTCTTTCTGTCCTCTTCTTTCCCATTATCAGCTTCCATGTTTGCTGCTTCTTATTGGGGTCCAGAAAGAGTAGCAGCTCCCATATTTGGCCAGATAACCAGAAGACGGTTGGCATGGAAAGCACATTCAACACAAACAACAAGTTGGACCCAGATATGTGCAGCACCTTGTAGAAAAATTCAGTCAATAGCCAGCTTTGGTTAAATTTTCCTACACAGCCTTTCATCATTAAATATAAAGCCCTTTAAAGTCATTTCCATGTTAAAATGTCATTGTGATATGTTGAAATGTCATTCTTACTGGTTAAAATGTTAATTGAATATATCTATCAAACAATTTTGACATGTTACAAATATATTTTTACATGCAATGATTACATTTAGACTAGTCAAATCTGATTTACAGATATCTTTGATTTTATTTGAGATATCAGCAATTCCTTTTTTATTCATAAGAGTACAGATAAGTACATTTCCACATGTTGAAAAAAGATTGTGACAAGTGGAAATGTCATTCCCCATTTCAGATATGTCCGACATATCAGCAACCATGTCAGATACATGGGCGTCATATCATTAGAGTACAACAAAGCCATCGGTCGACTTTTAAATTACCATACATTTTGGATATGTATGTATGCATTTAAGATATCTATGATGATAGAAAATACCCATCCCTGGATGCAGACTGGTCAATTGTTGCATCGGGCCGGCTCAGACCAGGGTCCTACAACAACACAGCTGTGCTCCATTGACTCTAATGCGGTCATTTCAGATTTCCTTCATTTTCAGGCTGGTTTTGTGGATTTGGAGCTAAATGTTGTGCCTGTGGCACGTCGTGTATTAATGATACTCGTTACCTGGAGAGGTTGGAAAAAGATACACGTTTCTTCCCTGTTCCAAAACCCCAAATCAAACCCTGAAAAGTATAGTGTTAGCTAGCTAGCTACTGAAGATATAGCCTGCTGAATGTATACACATGCTGCTTTTGCTTTTTAATGATTATAACAGTGAAATAAAGACCGACCCTGCTGTACAGTAACCAGTGAAGGGAAGCAGGGAAACTTTGCTGATATTCAACCAGCTGTGTGGCATCGCAGTGTGTGCAAATGAACGTTGTTTGACTTCCCCAAGAGATCCCTGCCCGTGCGGCGGGGGAAGGCCGGGTGCTGGCAGCGGCACGGGGGCGAAGCCCAACACCATTCATCTGCACACACTGTGATGCCACACAGCTGGTTCAATATCAGTGAAGTCTCCCTTTATATTCATTGTCTTCTGTGGCGATCGGCAGTGATGTGGTGGTTCACTTTTACACTGTGATCTGTAGCCTATAGTTCGGCTTTAGCTTCTAACTATCTTTGTCTTTTTAACCTGTTGTTGCTGCTGAGTCAGTTTGACATCCTGGATATATCCTTCAAACACAGACTGTAGACCCCTCTGTCTGCTTCTCTCTGGAATCGCTGTTTAATTTTTCCAAAAATATTTTAATATTTCTTCAGAGAGTGCAGTTAGTTACAGTGTGGGCTCCATGTTTTCTCCGACAGGTTGTCGGACCATCACAAAGGGGCGGAGCTTAGCGAAAGGTCAATTCTAGACACTCTGATATTCTAACAAGAGACAATTCCAAGCTGACATATCAATAATTTAAGTCTGACTGGTAAGAATTGAATTTTAGCTATCTAGATTTCCATTTATGATATCTGTAATACAAGAACAACTGTACATTGTTATTTCACAATGAACACGGCCACTAATGGGAACTGAGTTGTTTATACCAGCAGCTGATATTTCCAGTGAGAAGTGAATTGCTGATAGCAACAATTAAGATTTTGACTAATGAGAAATTAATTGTACATATCTTTAATCATAGTTACTAGTGAAAATTACATTATGAATATGCTGAATGACTTGGAATTCTAACTAGTCAAAAAGCAGTTGTAAAGCAAATCTTAAAGGGCTTTCCACAGAGCAGGGCAAGTACAGTTGTAGGAAGTATGCACACCAGATAGAACAACACTATAAACTCCATTCCAAATTTACCCTCAAGAGGAATGTGGGACGGCTCTCTGTGTGATAACTTGTCACTCAGCTTGACAATGCTCTCACTTTCTGCAGTAACTTTTTGGTTCATTCCACTAGACGGGGTTCCCTGTGGGGAACAACAGAAGAAGAAAAACAAGTTCAAAGACAACACATTCTGTTTTGTACTTATGGTAATAAATAATATAAAGGGATATATGTTATAATGGGATTCATGAAATTACCGTATTTAAGATAAAGAGTGCACTTCTATCCACTCCGTCTGAGGCTTCACTGTTTTTTCTCCCAGTTTGAGGGGGTAGCCCTGAAGCCCTGGAGCTGGGGGCTGTGTGTAAACCACCCTGGGGCCTGGATCGGCGATAACTGGCTGGTCTGGCAGTGGTAGACTGATCAGGAACTGCAAAGAAATTCCCATTATACATTGACCATTAGTGATTTCTGCTGTTTGGATAGGATTTTCTCTCAGGCATTTCCTTACATCTTATGCTCATACATATTCTAAGGGCACTTCTACATGTATGGTTTGGTAGAGTCTGTGTGTTTTGGGGGTGAAGTTTTAGCATTTTTGTATTTTTCATTTGGTTCAGTTAGTGTTCACACTGTGCTATTTCAAGCGCACAAAACACTGTCAACACATGAAATGGTCCTAAGTGAGACACTTCCTGGTCTCACAAATAATCAAGCAACACCAAATTGATGCGTTCTGAGGTTTCTGGTCTTGCTACGGTGCTTCTGTCAGTTAAATATTTAGATGAAGGCGAACAATATGAGTAGCTGACACAACAACAAGTTGTCAAGCACTTAATTCCTTAAATGAAACGGTCCTGAAGGAGAAGGCAGGCACTGATGAGAAGAGATTATGATATGATGTCCTTGTTACACAGATGACGAGTAAGGTATGGTCATTGTAAGTTATGGATTAGCACTGTGTTTTGATTCACGTCCTGTATTAGTGCCAGATGGCGTTCTCACCTAAAGTAAAACAAACCTTGGAAGCAAACCAAGACCCACATTTTCAGGTGGACCAAAGTTTAGCTGTTTGCACCAGAGTTCAAATGAGCATCCACACCGACCCCAAACAGACCAGACGATCTGACAAATGGACCAAACAGCTCAGGTGTGATCGCACCCTGAATAAAAACACAGCGACTACACTTTCTAAATTCTTGGACTTCAACTACCTGGCAAGTAAGGCTGAAAATTTTAAGCAATGTCCTTGATCTATTGTCAGTCATGTCAATGATCAAGTAGCTACTGCAACTTTATTTCCAAAAGCCACATCCCAGCTGGCCACCAATGTTGTTAGATGTTGATATTTGGTTGAAATTAGGTGTTGACATTGGGTGATCAAAGTTCATTGTCAGAACAACGTCTAATTCCAACGCCAATTTGACGTAGAATGCTGACGACTAATGACGTTGAAAGTTAGTTGCTTTTAAGTGTTACAGCACTGCTGTAACTTGTGTTTTTCTTTGTGTTTCCCCTTCCCTGTGTTCCTGTCTGTCTTCCTCCCCCTGTTTAGTTTCGTCTGTGGGCTAGCATGGGCGTGGTCCCCCTCCCTGGTTTCCTTGGTTCCTGGCTCTGCTCACCTTACTCACCTGCCTCAGAAGATCATCAACAAGTGGCAGATTACCTCACTGCCAACTGAGATATTCTTATTAACTTTTTCCTTGTGTGTTTTTTCCGTGTTGATAACCTGTCTCCTCCATGTTCAGGATCATCCCTCTCCTGCCAGCTTAACCTGAACACCAAGCCAGCTTCCTCTCAGCCTCCTCCCTTCCATCCAACGGACCCCGGACCATGACCATTTTAATTTCTTGTGACAATAAACCCTGTCATCATCTCCATCCTGTGTCCTGTGCTTGGGTTTTCCTCGAGTTCCTAACATTAAGGTGTGTTGTCAAGTGACCAAAATCCCACCAAATGCCTTCCAAATGTCTCATGCCAACGTCATCTTGAGGTATAATAACAACTTTTAGTCTTAAGGTATGGAGAACAAAACCTCTGCAAAATGTCACAATGTTAACATCCACACAATGTGACATTGTACCATTGTTACACATTTAAAATATCATCAACCTGATTTTCATTCCAACCAAAAATTAATGTCTGTCCGAAGAGGGGTCCAGTATCTTTCTGATATCACACTGACACCCGGTGCCAGCTGGCATAGTTCACATAGATGAAAAATGTAGGCTTAAAGCCAGTTCAGTGTGAAGGCGTCATACCAGCATTTAAAAGATCAGTGAGAAGGCGCCTAAACGCTATCTACAAAGCACTTTCAAAGCTACTTTTTTATGGTATAAACTTTAAAAACATTCCTTTTTTTATACCTTGAATTTGAGCCTACTGATTATAACATGCGGTATATGGTTTAGGTAGAATATAAATTGGACTCTACTGCTGAACTGATTGAGCTGGTGTTTTTCTTTAATCTATCAATCTGCTCCATAATCATCATGTAAAAATAATGGGCTCTGGAGGGAGTCGTGATAAGGCCGCGACCTGACCCTGCTGTATCTGTGCCAGGGCTCATTAGGACCACCTACGCTGATGCTAACAGAAAAACAAACTTTCTGTCTGATCCTCATCAGAGCAGAGAGCAGACACTTTCATTCCACAAAACACACAGGATCGTCGAGATGATACAGACGGCGCTGAGTCGGATGTACTGAGAGGGAAGAAAAAGAAGACACACTCCTTTGAAGCAGCAGATTTGACACTCAGAAAATGACCAATGTTTACAGTAGGAGTGAGTAAATTTCAGTTTACTTCAGATCTGCAGAAGCCTGTAAAAGAATGTGCTAACAATAGGGAATAAAATGAGATATATGATAGTTGATAGGAGTAAAAAAAATATTTTGAGCAGTAATTTTGATTCATGTGACTTCATTGACCTTGAAAAAGGATGTCTTTGGTGTAATGGTGTGTAAGATAATCATGGTTAGTTAGCTGCTGCATGATAAAAACTGCTGTATCTTACTTTTAACACTTTGTGACAGATTGGTACTTAAGCAACAATATTCACCAAGCTACTTGGTCACAGTTAAATTGGATGCCTACTTTAATAGCAATCATTTTAATTATGATTAGGAATGTTATGCTAATAATGCAGATGCTAATTATGAAAAGCTATTCCTTGTGCGTGGTTACTGCTCTCCTCTATGGGCACTGCCAGTTGACTAAACATGACTTAGACAGCTGTCAGAACAAATAAATAAGCGCTGATAAAAAAAGGCCACAGAGGCGGCGGAACTGGATTACTGGTGCATGTCTTTTTATATGAGGAGATAATTGCAGCTCTCTGAGTACAGGTGAGGTGCAAATGAACACAAAAATGAGGACCACAGAAATTTCATACGAGGAAAACAAATCGATTATCATCGCAGTCTCTTCGCAGAAAACAATTTGTCCATGTGCGACCATTTCTGCACCATGACGCTTCTCTATTTATATTATCTGTTTCACTGGGGGGTTGTGGCTAATGTCTTGTGTTTTATAAGTTGAAACTCACACCTTTAGTATATCTGCCGTAAGTTACAGTCTGTCGTGATGCATTAGAGAAGACATGCATTAAATGGACAAAACAATGTGGACACCTGATTTTTAAACTTATATGTGAGTATTAAACATTCTAAACCATACTACAGCACAGTCACCAGAAGAAAATGCTGGCATTGTTTCTGCAAACCACAGATACGTTACATTTGTATGTTTCATATGGATCATATCAACATTTCGAAAGTGACGTAGATCTTTTTTTTTTCAAATTTATCACTAAATGAAATGAAATAAAAATTCAGTCAGGAAGACAATACTTTTCATGCTCAGGCTGTAAGTTTCTTTCTCACCCTGCCATTAACTCCTTTCACATATGCTCACTCACTATCTCTAGGTGTCACTGTCTGGGTAGGTCAATTAAATCATCAGCTGATTTACAATCAACCAATAGCACAGTGACAAACCTTCTCTGTCAACTTATCATCATATTGCTCCTCTTTTTAACTATGGATCTTTCTCTGCCATAGTTCTTTCTTGCTGCTGTTGTGCACAACCCCCACCTCCCCATCACCAACCAGTCTTTACGAATTCATCAGCCTCATCAGCCTCAGCAGTCAGCAGCCACATAGTCATCAGCCACCGCCACCACCACCAGTGTCTGGACACCATGGGGGGATTTATCCTGCTGCACAGATATCCCTCAATCAAAAAATATATTCCTCTGACATATTCTGTATTAAGTATTATCTTTACTTCATTCTTCTGTCTCTCCTGATTGAAAAAAAATTTCCTTTGCTTTTGACTCACTTTTTGGGCTATTTCTCTGTTTTAGACTCTCACTTACCAACTGAAAACAGAGGTACGTAATATAAATTTCATGTCATTTTAACAGAAACATACTTTCCATATTGTTTCAGCTAAGATTTAACATTGTTTAGAGGGCAGCCTGGATGTAAGGAAAGCAATAAAAATATAATATAAAGTAACATAGTTCTGATTAGATGTATTTGAGCCTGGGAGGTGGCCAAGTAGCAGAACACTGACTTCTGCTTTTCCAACCATGACTGTGCCACCAAAACTGGGTATTTTAAGCCAAAACATGGCCTTTTCTGAGCCATAACCAGGTGGTTTTGTGCCTAAACATCACCACACGTTAAACACAGTGTTGTTGAAACGTAGGCAGACACATAAAGTATCAACATGTCCGCTGCATATTTATTTACAAATATACACATCTGTCATTTGTCGAAATGTACAATGCCAAGATTAATTATGGTGATTGGTTTGGGTATTCAGACAATGCTCTTTTAGGCTCCACTCTAAACCTTTCAGATAAATGCTGTAAAAACTACAATATTTGCCTCCAAAATGTAGTGGAGTAGAACTATAAGGTAGCATAAAATGGAAATAAAATTGTATTCAAGTATTGTTTGAGTAGATGTATGTAAATACTCTCCACCACTGTTCACTGATTAATTCCTAATCCTGTAATTTGCTCTTACCTACCACAGTCAGAGCTCAACAGTCCAGCCCTCACATCTGCCTTCCTCAAATTCTCCATTTTCAACACCTGAGTGACGTAGTTTACATCTGGTGGAAACTGGCAACTGCGAGGGATCGAGTCCATGAGACCAGCTCCACTGAGGAACATATCTAGATTAAAAAGCAAAGAACAACTTCAGATTTAGCCAAATCATAGAATAAACCAAAACACATCATCATGACACAACATCATGCAACAAAGTTAACACTTTGATCAACAGAAAAATACAAATGACAAGCTGTCTTTACTGGCAAGTAGCGTAGGTGTGCACTGAGCAGCCAACACGGTGTGCAGCTGTTAGCTCTGATGAGCCATTTCTGAGTTAAACAAAAAAAACACACTGATCTCTCAGCCAACTACCACAGAAAACAGCTAACTGTTTCTCTCCCTCCACACAGATACACACAACTTCCTATAACCACTGATCAAATCTACTCAAGGTGAAGACCACGGACTTACTTCAATAACCACTCACGGAGAGGGGACTTAAAGGTATGCTGATAAAACTCGGTTTTGATGTTAATCATTACCATCATCTGACATTCCTGCGGGCTCCGTTTTCATGGTGAAGATTCTGCGAACTTTACAGGTAGCAAACAAAGTGATACCATCCAGCGTCAAAAACCCCTTGAAGAGTTCATCGGTGATTGATACAAGGTCGATGCACAAAGTAGACCACTGAGACGACACAAACATGATTTTGTAGTTAAAAGGATCTTTTAGAGACGCAGCTCAGCGCCAACTACAAGATATGACAACTGATACACATAACTGAAAGCATATCCAAAAGTATTAAAAGAATATGTCAAAGATGAGTTAGATACTCACAATACTGCGTTTCAGTCCTACAAAAGGTATCTTTGCATGCAAAGGTGTGGCAGACAACTCTTTATATACTGTTGATAAGTGCAGTCTCCTTTTCAGGCGCTCTGAATCAGTTATCCTGTGAACAGAAGAAAAGAGAACATAAATTATCACCAGCATTAATGGTGTCATTAAGAAGTCCTGAGAAGACAAAGCCACAAGCTTTATGGGTGTCTAAGGAAAGCTCTTGAAGGTGCTTTCAATTTAATCTAGTGCTGTGAAATCAGCCGTCATGACTCACTCTAATGGAAGAATGGCAATGCCAGCAATATTTCCCCAGATTCTTAAAATGATGTACTGTGTGGGTAAAAAAAACAGTAGGCAATAGTGAGATATTATTTCAACTTCTGACAGTATGTCCTCCTAGTTTTGTTTTCTATATAGCTCCCATGGCATAACAAAATCTAAACAGCAGCATCTCTATACTGTACACCACAGCCTGGGTCTGTAATAAATTGAATTTAATCATGAAATTAATTCAAACATGAAGAGTTTTGAGCCCAATAAAAGACTCCATAAAGGCTTTAAATATAGAATTCTGTGGAGTCTTGACTGCACAAAATGTGTTTTATTGATCATGAACACCTTGGTAAATCACAGTGACATTTTTTTTCTACCAATAAACATCCACACTTTAGGTTATGTTTTACAAATTTGTCTTATTCCTTTGTATATAACCTTTTAGAATTTGTTGTGGGTGGTAGCCTAATAGCCGCCTTGAAGTAAGTTGTTAAACAATATCTTAATTGCAAATGATTATTAAAGCAAATTACAGTACACTGTATTAGTCATTGCAAATATACTCAATTTTAAAATGTTTCAAGTGGTTTCATACCAGACAACAAGCTTACTTTTATTTTATTTTTCAGTGGTCTGAGAGGCATGTGATTCAATAATTATGTTCTATATTTCACTGTATATTATAATATTGTATAATATCTTTTGTAAGGAGATAAGGAGTGTTCATTTCTATTAATTATTTCTGTGGCTACCATACTGAGCCACACTAACAGTAATAAAAGCCCTCTCTCAACCACAGAATTAAAGATTTATTGAGATCTACAGCAGGGTGTGCTCTCAAATGTTGTTCAAGGTGAGTTGCAATGTATAAAGCATAAAAAAGTATTTAAAAAAACAACATTGAACTTGCTGTACTTACACGAGTTCAACTGAAAAATCTTTAGACTGAGGAATATTCACTTGAAGGACCAAGAATCTTTGGAGAAGTCCAACTAATATTAAAAAAAAGCCAAGAAGTGAATTAATATTAACATGTGGGCAACAAAATTAACAAATGGCTGCAAGTGTGGTGACTTACGAGACGTTTTCCCACTCTCCGGCATTTGCATCTTGACTGTCTGGCTGCTACCCTCCAGACAGTAAACAAATCCTTTGACTTCTTTATTGAACTCCTAAGAAGGGAAATAATACAGAAGAGGCCTTGCTGAGTCTAAAACCTTGCTAAGTATGATGAGATGACCAGAGTACCTATGGCGTGTCATTGAGAGCAGACTGCATGTATTTATGTGACCATTTGCTGTATATGAGGTTTGAAATGGAAAGGCTATGTGTCAAGAACAGCCCCATAAAAATCCAGTGTAAGCAAAAGGGAAAATTATAGATAAGGTAGCAGCGTTCCTTTGTATCTACAATAAAATGATAACTTAATGTTAAGAGTTAGAAGTGTCAATGTCTCTGATAATGCAGTTAATAGGCTGCATGAGTTTGTATTTTCCATTTTTTTGACAACAAATCTCGTATATAATTTGTATACTGTACTGACAACCCATATGTTGAAGTGGCAAACTATAATTTTGCATCTAGATTAATTAAGGGTATAAAAGATCCTGCTACAGTCTAAGTTTACAGCCTAAAGTTCAATGTTCATTAGACTGCATTACATATTAGCTGCAGTGTATGCTAGCCCTGTGTGCTAGCTTGACTTAGCAGACATGTAGGCTCGTTAAACTCTTTATGTGTTAATAGTGAGGCTAAAGTAAACTAGCAGCTCTCACCTTATGTATAGCTGAGGGACCTCCACAAAGTTTCCATTTTGCCACAGGGTCCTTTCCTTGTCCACTAAAAACCTCCACCACAGCTCCACCCTGCGAGGAAAGACAGTTAGCTTTCACAGTTAGCCTGCAGCTAATGCTATGCTAACGTTGCATCAAGCTAAAGCTCATATTAGCCTGAAAAGAGACGAGGTTATTTACAAAGGCTCTCAATTAACAGAGGGCCACCGTTTGTTGGGTTAGCTGTAAAATAAACTTAGGGTTACCTGATAATTATTCCTGAACATTTTACGTCACGTCACCGGTCGAAAAAGGTTATTTAACGTGTGTGTTTACCCAGATAAAATATATTTTTACCACCCATTACATTACCCCAAAGCGTTTGAAGCGCTACACTGAAAAGCAACACATCGTATCTTTTAGTCTAAGCAATAAAAGGTGTAAAATACAGTTGGAGGAAACGGTTTTGCTGTCAGTGTATGTTTCCATGGTTACCTGACGCTACTGTAGCCATAGCAACTGATGACAGCGAGACCAGCAGGCTGCGGTGACGTACTTCAGACGCTGGTGGGAGAAATTTGCTTTCATTTCTTGGTTGGTTTGTAGGAAAATGAACATGTTTTGGACTAAAATGGAAACATTTCTTCTGGAAAATTAAACCCTGAAGACAAACTTTTCCCATGAGCAAATTCAACTAGTGAATAGAGATTTAGAAATAAGTGGAACCTTGGCAAAAGAAGCCTAATTTGTTATGTAACATCTAGGTCTCTATGGCAAAACAAAAAGGTAAGCCTGTTGAAATATAATTCAGGCTACCAATATTACTAATTATTATTAGCGTTCTAATTTTCATGGGGCTTTTTTATCATTTACCTCACACCCATTCATTTCAGTAGGCTACAGTGATTTTGTAACCAAAATGGGTGATATTTATTATTTACTTTACTGTGTTATGGTGCATTATATATATTACAGTAGTAATAGATTCAGCATTATTGAATTACTGGTAATGTATTATTTCATTGTCATTTAGTATGCATATTGTTTCATTTGTAAGTAAAGTCATCGTCTTCCCTTGGTTATGAGCTAATTGGTTCCTACCTGCCCTTGTTTTGTGGGGACAAGTATGAGTGATAAACAATCCAATCCAACTTTATTTGTAAAACACTTTAAAACAACCACAGAGTACCAAAGTGCTGTACAGAAGAATAAATCAAAGACAATAAATAAACAAGAGAGAGTGAGTGCCTTGTGCTTGACAGTGAAGAGAAGTTGCTGTACTCCTATAATTTAAATGTAGAGTAGGAAACATACTGCAGACTGCTTATTTCCCACAGCCTGGAAGAACTGGGGAACAGCCACGATCAAGAAAAGAGGGTTACAGTTTCATCCGTCCCATCCAGATTTGGGGATCCAAAGTGTTTACTGTAAAACACTGTGAAATGAATATTCATATGAATAAATACTTACAAATTAGGGCAAAGTAATAAGTAATTTGGGACTTTTTTTTGAGAGATTACCAAGAAAAACACCTAAAATTAGAACTTATTATGGACCTCTGCTATATTTTTTAAAAGAAAATGCGTTGCCAGGAAAAATACTCAAGAAATCTTGGACCCTCAAGCACATCAAGAACACCAACCTCACTCTAGTGATATGTTCAGGTAAAATGTGACAGCTGTTACAGTAAAATGGGCCAGTTATGCTTGTTTGTTTGTTTGTTTGTTTGTTAAATTAGTTGAATCCATTTATCAGTTCAGTAACTGATTCATAATGTAACCTAACTAGTCATTAAAAAAATATGGTCCTTGTGTTCCCTGTTCTTCTGCTGCCTGTTTCCTTGTTGCCAGTTTGTCTACATAGACATGTGTGTGTGTGTGTGTGCTTGGATGCATGTAACAACATCAGCAAATTTTGTACTATTGTGACTGATATGGACTCACTGCATCTTGTTTAATATTTTGTAAGTTGTCAGGATGGCACACAGTAGTGCAATTCATTATTTCATGGCACCGGTAGCCTGAAAACATGCTTGTTTTATTTCAGAAAAATGTCCCATTTTACCTGAATAAATTAAGTACTCACTCAAAACCCTTCCCCATAATAAGAAGAAAATATACTGTACAAATGTTTTGATCATAAGTGGTGTCAGCTTGATACTGTAAAAGGTTAAGCTTTTTAATCCTGCTTCTTTTTACAACAACAGTTTATTGCTTGATACTTTTATTTATTTCTGGCTGTTATTATTTCCAATAACACAAAGTCACAAAGTCTTTATCTGTCAGTCAAGACAGACAGGGCAGAGAGTCAGGTGACTGGCTGAATGAGCAGGGCAGTGCTATTGTGAGGAATGGCTTTCATTTTTCAGATTGTTGATAGCAAATGTTTCCTTTTCAATCCCGTCACTGGACTCCTCAAGAACAAAACAATAGTTTGTCATATTACTATAGGGTTCATAGAGTGTGCTATGGGACGTTATAATAAATATGATACCTAAAGATGATGCTAAAAGGGGGGGAGAAAAACAGTTAAAAATAGATTTGTTTTAAAGTTGTATCTTCTATTGAAATGCAAAAATCCATTATTGTGTCATTGTCGCTTGCTTTGTTTACCCTGGCAGCAGGGCTATTATGAGATCAAAAAGATGTCTTTTTAATTAGCTACTGAGGGAGACCACATCCGGAAGTACAACGGTATGGCTCACCGCTTATTAACATTTTTTGCATGTATCTGACTTCAAACACAAGGTGGTCTCAGTTATTTATGGATATGGAACAAAAGACGACACAGAAAAAAAGAAATCTGTCCAGTCACACCTATGACGACTGTGAGTTTTATTGTTCTTGAACAAGAGCCACTGCAACGTTTAATATCTCTGTTCCCATTTGCATTTTCATGGATTTTTTTTTAATGTTCAGGCTCGCTGTAGTGATACCGAAAAGGCTCCTCTGATGTTGTAGCAAAAACGAAGCTTTTCTGTCCTGAAAACATTTTCAGAATGAATGATGAGAATGCGGCAGAGAAAAAAAGAATACAATACATATAGTCGAGATGCCAAGTCTCTTGCAGCTAGACACTTCAATCAGTTAGTCAGAGAGATAGGTCAAAAGGTGCAAATGGATTTTCAATATGATATCACTGTATCCAGATGGTGTCAACTCTGCAAAGTATAATCAATCTGCAAGAGTTCATCTTGTATACATGGATGGATTACTGAATGAGCCTATTGGACGGTAGCTCAGGGGCCCAAAATGTTAGGGAGCCATCCTGGCCTTCACCTGTAAAATGTCACAGAAATTAACATGTACTGAACAGGAAGAAATTATTTATGACCACAAAGAGACAGAAAAGGTCCACAAAGGGATGAAAGGGAACTGCAAAGAGACACAAAATGACTACAAGACAACACAAAACAACCAAAGAAGACACAAAATTACCTAAAAGAGACACAAAAGTATCTCAAAGAGACACAACACACCTACAAAAATAGACAAAATGACCTCAGAGAGAGATGAGACAAGAGGCACAAAAATACCACAAACATACAAAAATACCTCAGAAACAAAACAACTAAAAAAGACACCAAACAATGACAGATAGCCTACAAAACACTTAACAAACACAAAATGACTTTAAAGAGACAACTACAAAAAAACACAAACCACCGAAAAAGACACAAAATTAACTCAAGAGACACAAATGTACCTCGAAGAGACAGAAAACAACCACAAGAAGACACAACATTTCCTCAAGAGACACAAGTGACTTCAAAGAGACAAAAACTACTACAAAGAGATACAAAACAACTGCAAAAACAAATATAAAACCACTACAAAGAAACACAAACCAACCAAAATAACAGGCAAAACTATACAAAATTACCCAAGAGACACAAAAGTATCCCAAAGAGAAACAAAACAACCACAAAAACACACAAAACAACTACAAGGAGACACAAAACAACCAAAAAAGACACAAAATGACCTCAAAGAGACACAAAATGACTACAAAAACACACAAAACAGCTACAAAGAGATTATATACTGTTAAGCAGTGCTTACAGGACTGACTGAACCCACAATGCAGACTTCATATGTTTATTCCAGAAGAACACAAAAGTCTAACAGGTCTGGGAGATGGATTCTGGGGGAAGTCGGGGAGCCAGGGCAGGTGAGGGAATCCAGGGAGAGAGACCAGAGGCAGACTGACAGAGGCGGGCTGGGCTAGGCGGAAATGGAGTGTTGCCGGACAATGAGGGAAACTGGATGAACTGGTGAAGAGTGGATGCAGAGACCGGGTTTAAATGCAGCAGGAGAAGTGGAGAGGTCATCAGTGGAATCACAGTCATCTGGGAATGGTAGCAGGTGGAGGTGATGAGGTCAGGAGCCGCGTTCAGCCAGGAGACAGCACAACACACAGAACAAGAGGGAAGAGGACACAGAGGAGAACACAGGGTGGAGGCAAATAGCAGACCCCAACATATACAACTACAAAACATCTTCAAAGAGACACAAACAACCACAAGAGGACACAACGTGACCTCGGAGACACAAAACAACTACCAAAGAAACACAAAACAACTACGAGACACAAAACAGCTACGAAGAGATTATAAACAACTACAAAACATCTTCAAAGAGACACTAAACAATCGAAAAAGACTCAATACCTGAAGAGACGCAATTGTACCTCAAAGACACACATGATGACTACAAAAACACACAAAACAGCTACAAAGAGACACAAGACAACCACAGGAAGACCACAAAGAGTACCACAAAAAGACACAAAATGACTGTAACAAGACACAAAACAGCTACAAAGAGATTATATACGACAAAACATCTACAAAGAGACACAAAACAACCACAAGATAACACAAAAGTGACCTCAGAGACACAAAACACCTACCAAAGACACACAAAACAACTATAAAGAGACACTAAACAACCAAAAAAGACTCAAAATTATCTGAAGAGACGCAATTGTACCTCAAAGACACACATGATGACTACAAAAACACACAAAACAACAAAAAATAGACACAAAATGACCTGAAGCAGACACAAAATTAACTTGAAACACATAAGAACCTCAATGATGCACAAAACGACTAAAAAAAACTAAAATAACCCACACAAAACAGCTACAAAGAGACACAAAACAACCACAAGAAGACACAATTTCCTGAAAAGACACAAAGACAAAAAGATACAAAACAACTACAAAAAGTCACATAACAACCACAAAGAGATACAAAATTACCCCGAAGAGAAACAATGCTGCCTTAAAGAGATGCAGAACAACAAAAATATGCATAACGATAACCAAAAGACCACCACAAAATCTGTGTGTCTAGTTCCTCTGTAGGTGGTGGGGCCTTTTGCATATCTGTGCCCAGAGGGTTACTGTCTCATAATCCACCTGTGCTTGTATATGTGTGTCTTGAGTTCTTC